AGGTGTGATAGCCATCGTTGTCACACCAGAAAAGATGGTTGAGGATAAAACTTTGAGCTTATCATTCCTCGATGGTTTTAATAGTGGAGCCTCTTATAATGTGTTCCTTTAAAATTTGATATTCCTCAAAGTAACACTCAATGGCATATTCCTTGTATAAGCTTACATGTCAGTTGGCTGTTATTTACGACACAGTATTTGAGCAATTTTAATTAATCCATGCTTGATATATATATTTTTATACCGAATCAATACCAAGTTGGGTGTATTGTATTGCAAGCCGAGTTGTTGGACAAACATGTAACGGAATTCGCCCCCCCCCACCCATCATAACCTGACACCGCGCAATGCCGCTCGTTGTGCCGCGCGGCCAACAGCGGATTAATTTACGATAACGGCAGCGATCGGGGTGAAATGCCAACAGGCACGTCGAGAAAGCTATCGGTTGGGGCCGCAATAACAAAAAAACACATGTGCGGTGGGCGGGCTTGGACGGAGTTGCAGTTGGTGGTCAGAGCTGAGGGCTGTCTGTCGAGAGCAACTCTATTTCCTGATGCGTCTCTGCACCGAAAATAAAACAGCTGCTTTTCGGTGGCTTTATGGGCCCTCCTGAACGCGTGGCAGCGGTGGTGTTTGGGGGGGGGGGGTAGTGACGCAGCTCACGTGCCCTCTTTCATCAGCAGATGCGCAGCTGCTGCGAATAATGGGGGCCCTGCCACCGCCACTTGTAGCCTGATGTCACTTTTGTCCCCGCCGTCTGCCGGCCGCCTGCCTGCTTGCGCCAAGGCTTTCCCTCCGCTCGTCACTGACATCGGCTTAATTAGCAAACGAGCTTCATTTCATTCCGTCTCCACCTCCAGCATATTTCGCGTCACGTGGATGCCCTCATATAAAATTGTCACGTGCGTGCGAGGCCCACGTAACTGGCGTGTTCTAAAAACGAGTCGGGAGTGCGGTCAACAAATAATGAAATCCCTTGTGTGACCGTGTGGCCATTACCGCCGCGATGATGTGGATGGTGCAGAAAGCACGCACACTGTGCAGCAGTCACCAGACAGAGCTGTCTCCCACCTGCTGCCTTCACTCACGCGAGCACGCTCGCTGCCCACATACCTACCTTTGCCTAGCCATTATGCTGCTATTTCTAACTTTGGAAGACGTCCCAGGTCATTGTTTTCCAAGGCGCGGGGCTATATTCCGTTGGGCACGCGTTACAGCAGTTTTAGAAGTGTACAGGCGGCTATAACGAAGCTGTAAAACTATACGACGATGAAGGTGTACACTTTATAATTGTAAATATTAATAATTAAGCTTAATTTTACAACACCTAACTGTGAGGCACTGTGGCAGAGAGCTCAGCTCATGGTTATAACATTGCGAGTTCAAATATTTTTTGCCTATTGACTCAGCCAATCATTTATAAGAGGTGTAATAGAGGAGTACCACTTTGTGTAGAGTCCAAGAGCAGTTGTGCCTGCTGTAGAAATTTGGAATTTCCACCACTAGCTCAATGCTGTCAATGGAAATGAGCACCAACTCAAACTGTTTTAAAGAAAATAGATACATATTTTATATACATATATAACTTATTGGTTTACATATCTTTTCAAATAAAATTTCATTTTAAAGACGTTGAAGAAAAAACAACTCCGGTTGCCTGTGAGAGGGGAAAGAAATGCCAGAATATTTTTTTTTAAAATTAATCTATGCCAGGGTGCGAAGGAAATTGATCCTGTTGAAATGGCAAAATCTCTTTTTACACCGCTGGTCTGCCATCGTACCCGGGCGCCTTCCCTGGTGCACGGACCACCTATCACGAGAGCACGCAGCTGATGGGGTGAAGACAGATTTCTTGACGTTGGGGCCATTTTATTATTTTTAGTTGAGCTCTTGCGATTTGCTGACCTTTGACAGCCGCCTCTCGCTGCCTCCTCTCGTCATCGCGGTGCTCGCGGAGGGCACGCTGAATTCTACCCCACAGCCACGCAGCGTCGGGCTTAGCGCTGGGAATTCGAGGGCTAAGGTTAAACAGATTATTTTGGCTGGGCATTGTGGTTGCTTGCGCTCACACGATTAGGGGACCCTGGTGCCAAGGCAGCACCTGCTCTGGCTGCTGTCTGTCGCATGCCTTTGTTTTAGCGAGAGTAAAGAAATCCCACACGACCTAAAAGTTTACCTTACGTAACGACGTGATTGGCAATTACCTGCCGTGCTTTCCCTTCGAGATGCGGGGGTTAGGTTGAATTGGCGGCAGAAGGCCGATTAGATTGTGCGCCGTGAAAGCTATCGTTGAAGTGGTCAATTCATAGGGGATGTAACAACGCGCCGATTAATATCGATTGTTAAGCTCGCATTGCATGCATCGAATTCCATGTGTAAGAATCAACTGTTTTAGATTAATGTACGTTCTATGTAATCGCTCAATGTGACCCTCCTCAATCCACTCGAGGCTGCCACATTTGATCAGATATTAAATAAAATTGTGACCCCAAATCTTGTATGTTGCGAAGAGTATTACATTGCTACACCCATCGTGATTTCCAACAGTTTTGATATTTAAATGCTCGAGTAAAGTGGTAATTGATTTATGTTTTAACAAATATTGTTTAAGAGATAATCATTCTTGATTTGAAGCTTTCGTGACTGCAGGAATCCATTCTCTTTGGTTCTTTCGGTAAAGTCACATAGGTATAAAATAAAATAAATCACGACGTTTCGGGCGCAGCACAAGCGTCCGTCATTAGGTGGGAAAGCATGGCCTGCTGCTGAGGCAGACTGTTTTAAAAGGTTTGAAATGGGTGTAGCCCAAGGGTCATCAAGACGTGGGCGGGGCTAGTGATGTTAATGTGAGAAATTAGCATGCAAATGTAAGATAGAAGGAGAGTGGCCTCCTAGACGAGGGCACGGAAGTGGCTATGTTACTGTGAGAGATTAGCATGTTAATGTGAAATCGAAGAGTGGTACAATCCAAAGGCATGAGAGTGCAACCCAAAGGGTGCAATCCATTGTTACTTTGTTTATAAATGTGTGAGAGCCCATTAGTCTATTTTGTAAGGATGGCCTGAATATGATGACCGTATGTATAAGAAGGCAATATGCGAGGGCGCAAGACATTCTCAATGTGTCTGCAAGGAAAGCGTAATGAAACAAAGTTTATGGTGTGAGAACAGACTTAACTAAAACATTATTGCTTCAAATAATTCCCCTATTTTGTTGTAGTTTCTCTTCTGGATCCATCGCTGAGAAGCCATGTTTTTTGTTCATCGAGAGTCGAGCAGAGAAAATATTTTTTACAAATTAGCCGTTGAAGCGTTTGTAGATTTCTTTATGATTATATAATTTACAAAAGAATGTACGCCCCTTAAAATATTAAAAGGCTGTGTAAAATACTCCCCTCCATTGTCATTGAATTAACCCCCCAATGTATGTACGTTGAACTTCCTTCGCTCCGTACGTAGCCAACCCTGCTAATCGGAGGTGCGGGACCTTGATTACAAGCACAACAAGCACAACTTGTAATCAAGTTGTGCTTTTTTTGGTCCCTGTTGTCAGTATTATTGTTCACTGCACACAAGGTGGCAGAAGGCCCCCCTGGAGTGAAATGGTCTAAATGACTGCTTTGCGTTTCTCCTCCCCGCTCCACCCGGCGGAGTCTCTCTGTGCTCACGCGCGCATCCGTAAGCGTGCATTGGTGTCCGCGCAAGCACGCGTTCGTGGGCGACCACGCATCGGACCAACACGTGCGAGAGATTCGCTTTCCCTCTCTGTTGTCCACAAGAATCGCCCGTCTCGATTATAACAAATGAACAACATTCGGCAAGCTTAGAACGCTCTACACGTGCGTCTCCTTGCGGCGTTCGCAGCAATTGTTTTTGTTCATCAATAAAGTTGCCAAAGCAATAAAATAAAAACATATTGAGTAAAATAAACAAAAAATTGCGATTTTACAGCAAAAATGATATTGTACAGCCACCGGGGAGAAAGGGTAGGGGAGTGGGGAACGCTGTTTGTTTGGTGTGTGTTTGTAGTTGTACGTGTGTATGTACATGTGCCTTTCCGATAACAAAATGAATGTGATGCCAGGCCTTACTCAATACCACTGAGAATTGGGATCTGAACTTGACCTGAAACTCACCAAGGTCAACAGAGCTTTAAATTATCACTGCTACAGTGTTGGTTACGAAAGTACTGGAAGGGCAAAACCAAAGTGGGTGTGTCCCATGCCAGCCTTAACAGTATTAAAATTGGTAATTAGGCTCATGGTAGCTGCATCAAATCATCCGTGTAAGATTCAATGTTTTGGCAATTTAAACATGTTGTTTATAATTGGTTCATGTGTTATCTGCAGATACTTGAGGTCACTATATTGACCATCATTTGTTGGCAAATCATCCAAAGATAGGACCACAGAGCTTGGGAAATTTCTGACGCCGGTTCTGTCTGCCGTCATTCCCGTTTGTGGTTTCCCGCTCCTCGGTGCAACAGCTGTGCGGCGTTACGAGTTCTACGGTGGTTTGAAGTTGAATGGTGATGCTGTATAACATACATTAGTAATTAACATTTATATTGTTAATTCAAAAACATAAATCATGAATTCTTTCATAAAATAGCGTCCTTAAATTTCAATTTTCCCTGTGGTTGTTTGACACTAGATGCGGTGTGATCTGTGCTTTTGTGAGTGTTTGTGTGTGCGTGTATGTGGAGAGCGGTAGTGTAGCGGTTAGTGCGTTCAATTCCCACTCATGGCCAACACCAGTGATGATTATTTGATCCGGTCCTGGACCTCCCCTAGATCGACTCAGCCTCAAATTAGTGCCTGGTGCAATGTGTAAACAGCGCCAGACGGGAGAAAAATGTGGCCGGGCATGGTATTGGCCACCCACCCCCCTCGTGTGCTGTGCCGGCCTTCATTGGTGGTACTCGCTTAAAGTGCTTGCCCCAACAATCTTTTAAGGCTAAACGGGCGGTCTTTGTCTTTTTGTGTGTGTGTGTGCCTGTAGGTGCCAGTATGGCTGGCAGGGCCATTTCTGTGACCAGTGCATCCCATATCCTGGCTGTGTACACGGCGGCTGCAGCAAGCCCTGGGAGTGTCGATGCGACACCAACTGGGGTGGCCTGCTCTGCGACAAAGGTTAGTAGCACGCCCCCCCCCCCTCCCCTTCGTGTTCATCAATTTTGCTGAACGAACAATTCACAAAGGTGCGTTGAAATTTTACGGGTTGAAATTTTATTCCAGCCGTCTCCCAGAACCTAGGAGCACTGAGTTCGGACTTCGATCTGCAGAATTTCCGTAACCCCCCCCCCTCCCTTATTACGGTTGGTATCTTTTACCAGGCTCTTGTAAAAAAAAAAAATACAGCCATTCTCAAGCCACCAAAGGGTGAAGGCCCCCACCGTGCCAGTTATGGGGGCTCTTTTTTTTACCATACTTCACAACACTGGTCAGTGCTGATTGTTGGTGAGAGGAGGGGATCCGCTTCGTATATTAATGACCGTCAAAATTGTATATCAATCGATGTCATGAGCATTGCCGTCACGTTATCGGAAGTGAGCACAGCTGTTGGAACATGCAAAATAATAATAATTTACAGCCCTTTTGTCACGGGGAGTTGTGTCACCATACTTCACCACGCCCGGTCACTGTGGATTGGCGAGGAGGGAAGGACCAGTTCTGTATATCAGTCACCAGAGATGTTAACCATGGCTGGGAATCGAAGCAGGGTTGCTGGTTTCCTATCTTGTTTTATTCGAATATTGCATCCAGAAAAAACACTCGAGAACATCTCTTTTGTAACATGGCTCGAGATAGAACATCTCTTTTGTAACATCTCTCGAGATAGAACATCTCTTTTGTAACATGGCTCGAGATAGAACATCTCTTTTGTAACATCTCTCGAGATAGAACATCTCTTTTGTAACATCTCTCGAGATAGAACATCTCTTTTGTAACATCTCTCGAGATAGAACATCTCTTTTGTAACATCTCTCGAGATAGAACATATCCTTTGTTAAGGTGGTTATGATTCAGTGCACAGGGTGCCAACCGCTGCAACGCCGATCAGGAGCCATTCGATAATTATCCAGGAAGGTCTCTACTATTCCTTGTGGCTGTTGTATTAGGGAGAGGAAATGGAAGAACCTGCAGAAAATACGTACACTCACGGTTGGATAAAACACTCAGCACTCTGTACAGATATGTAAGCAACTGACCTACTTGCTTTGTTGCCTTCTAATAGCTGCCGTAGTTGGGACTTTCATGCACTCCATGAATTCTGCATGATTCACCAACCATGGCTCCCAAAGTGCGGGATTACTTGTGTGCGACGAATGTAGATGTTTGGGATTGAATTTCTTGCTTCTGCTCGTGCCATTGTGAATAAATGAATAACCTTAATGTCTGCTGCATATTTCAAAAGCTGGCTAAACTTTCCACAAATACAGCTTCCTCGTCTTTCTCGCTGTTCACTTAATTTCTGTGTCTAACACAGTCTGTGTGTGTGTCTATATATACACACACACAGATCCCTTCAATAGCCTTAACAGACTTTTGGGGAAAGTGCTGTTAGTGAGCACCTATTAATGCCAGCACCACACCCGGCCACCTTTGTCTCCCTAGTGGCAATATTTATACACCGCACCAGGTACTCATTTGATGAACAGTGACCTACACACAAAAAGCAGTGGCTAGGATTGCTGATAATGATACTTGCTCAACAAACCGTGACTTAGAATTCATTACAAACCGGTCTCCCAAATCCGTTAGCATCGCTGCTCTTTGCAATCACTGGCAGTGCATTTTCATTTCATTGCACACCCGCGGGTAATTAAGCGTGGACAACTGGTCTCATCGTGCGCAAATCTCCCTGCCTCCCAGACCTCAACTACTGTGGCAACCACCAGCCGTGCCGCAATGGCGGCAGCTGCTCCAACGCGCAGCCGGACAGCTACAAGTGCGACTGCCAGAAGGGCTACCACGGCGTGAACTGCGAGATCGGTGAGTTTTGGTGGAAACCGTCGGGCGGAACTCTGCGCGCTCTCGCGGCGTGCGGCGTGTGCTCACGCCAGCCTGGCAGCGCTCCCCCCGTGTCGCCCCTCAAAAAACAACCCTGGCACCCGGAGCGGACCGCGGCTGACCGTTTTGATAGCCGCGTGCGCGTGGTGGGTTTTTATCAATGCGCACCTGTTGGCACGCTGGCGAATTGTGCTTCAGTTCGGATCCCCCCACACCCAACCCCCCACTGTGCAATCTCGGGCCAATCCGGTCAGCCAGTCAGTGGTCGTGTGACTGGTGCACGGTGGCGGCTGTTTTTTTGTTTTATTGTTGGCCACGTGACCAGCAACTGTCAATGTGAAATTTGTCATTGCGGAACACCGGCCATCACCTCCACCTTTCTGTGACCACTCTCCCACCTCCGATTAGCACGGTTGGCTACGTACGGTGCAAAAGAAGTTCAACGTACATACATACAGATAAAGGCCCTACATTGTCACCAACCGACCAGTTATCATCATTCATTTCTGAAATTTACTATAAGGCAAAGTAATGGTGGGATTGATACCTGTGATATATAATGTCTGAACCAGTCCTGGAATACCTACCGTCACCAACCTCGTGAAAGTATGCTCACTTACACCAACATGTAATGGTGACGAACTTCATCCAGCAGTGAATTGACAGAGGGGTTGTGAAATGGCGTGATAATCTTGCAACAGGGATGCGATACAGTTCCTGCTCCTTTGGAGTATCGTCAGACCTGTTGCTTACACACTATGTGCAGCACATCACACGTACAGTTGTGCCCCGTCTATGGATAATAAATATGTTTTGAGCACTGCTGCTTGCGCTGGAGAGGCCTCATTAATTTCCAGGTGCCTTGAAATCGTATCCGGGAATTTATGCGTGAATTAAAATTTGCTTCGAGCGGGATGCCCACCGGCGTTGTGTTTGTTCGCCGAGCCGTGACATCCTCCTCGTCTGTTCTTTCCAGTTAACAACACGTGCGCCAACGGCGGCTCCAGTGTGGGGTCACCGTCGGGCTACAAGTGCCTCTGTGCCCCAGGATGGACCGGAGCCAACTGCACTGAAGGTAGGCACAGAGTGCATGCACGTATGTATATTGTATGTATGTTGAACCTCTTTCGCGCACCGTACGTAGCCAACCGTGGTAATCGCAGGTGTGGGGGAAGGACGACAAACTATGGGTCTCAGTATGAGTCTATGGTCTCTGAGTCAGTCTATGGGTCTCTGTGTGAGTCTATAGGTCTCTGTGTGAATCTATGTATGTTTAACTTTTTTCGCACCGTATGTAGACAACTGTGCTAATCGGAGGTGCGGGGCAAGGACAACAAACTGAACACTAAAAACAGTTCTAAAGAAATGAGTTTAATAAAAGTTCATAGCTCCAGTAGCTTCCTAATATCGGAAGGAAGACCGTTCCAGACAATCGCAGAAGCGCATCTGAAAGGACGTGATGCAGTGATCGTCTTTGTTCGATGGTTAGCCAATAGCTACTGCTGCGAGGATGATCAGACTTTGCGTAAAAGCATCACTCGGCCTCGATCCGGGGCCGCAATGACCGCCCAGCCCTTAGCGAGGTTGCCGCTCTTTGCAGTGGTACGTGGGTTGACCCTGGTGGGCAGCTCTGGTTTAACGCTGCGGGATTTAACAACCGTAAAATACCACGCGCCGTCTGCTTCACAGTTGACGTTAAAGATTCCGTGACGTCAGTCGGACAGGGCATGCCACATTTTGTGCCACCGTCATAGTCCACATTTTCTAAATTACCTGGAAATTGATGAATTGGGATTACGACAAAGCAACATTGCCCCTCCTCCCCCACTGAATGGTATAAATACCAAATGTACCAATTTTTGTAATAAACGTGTGATAGTTGAGATGCCACCGCGCATTACTGTTGAGCTACATTCTCGGAGCACAGTTTTAAAGCAAAAAAATGACTCAAAACAATTTCCTTCCATTATTATCACTCCACCATATCAATCACGAGGTTTTTTTTACCATATTTTGCCGTGCCAGTCTATGTGGGTTGGTGAGAGGGATGGGGGCCCAGGACTGATTCTGCTATTACTTGCCACTGATGTTAACTGTGTTATTGATAGGCGAACTCGCGTCAGCGGCTTCACAGCATAGCATGTAAAGTTATACTATGTTAATATATTATTTTTTTTATTTTTGTTGCTTCTGTCAAAGGTGGAGTGGAGGTGCAGTGGTTAACGTGCTGTGCTAAGTTTGATTCCCCAACGTAAATGGCGAGTGATATCTGAATCGGTTCTGGCCACCACCCTTTACCAATGCACACTGAGAAGTGTAGTGAAGTATGGTCAAAACTCCCCCATGACCGACATGATGTTGGGGGAGCAGGGTGGGGCAGCCTTCATACAGCAGTATAGATATACTTTGAAAAAAAGTATTTGTCAGCATGATTGAAATACTGCATCACAACACAACTGCTCATTGTTATAGGTATACTTGTAAAACAAGCAGGAAATAACCAATGACAGTATATGCACAAACATAGCAGCACATTAAAAAGGTTATTTTAACAGCCCTTTGTCAATATACTGCAAGATGAACACCTCCCCACATCCCAGTTGGGTGTCGGGATTATTTGACCGTATTTCGCGAGGCTAATGGGTTGGCATGTGGGACGGCGGTGGGGGGCCGAACCCATTCAGTCACCACTCACTCGCCATGGGCAAGGATCGAATTCGGATAACAGTGCGCGATGGGCCGCGCCACTGTAAAAGTTATACAACGTCTTAATTGTAAGTCATAATGCCCTATTAAATGATGTCATCACCGTTTTGTGAGCACATTTTTCATGGGATTTTTTTTCCATCAATCAAATGCACTCGAACAGATCCCTTTTTGCTTTCATCTCTGGAGTGACTGATTAGATGCTCTCATCCGATTGGTTTCACACTTCCTCCAATAGAGCCGCACAGTTTATTTTAAGCGACATACGCTTTCGTAGCTTAGGCTTTGTGTCGCTGCATTGCTCTAATGCTTTAATTGTGCATTTCTGAAATCTAGGTCAGAATTATGATATTGTGCAAACGTTAAGAGCAGATTTGGTGACACAATGTTACTCACTAATTCTCTGCGGATGTAGTGTCCCCACTGAGTCATTTGCATGCCACACGAGCTGTTTTTCCCGACTGCTTGAAAATGTTTGTGACATGAGATACGAGAAGAGAACACAGACGCACTCGTCGGTGCCATTTGCGTAACTTTATAATCCAAACCATTTTTCTACGTGGGGAGCTAAAAAAAACACGTCCATGCTCCGCCGTATGAAATCCTGCTTCACTGATGGATTTGGTTTTAAATTTTATGGACTCAAAAGTGGTGTCGTGTGTCTGCTGTGAATTAGGGGTAACGCAACACAGAGCCATTCCTGTTTGTTATCTGCATTGATCATAAGGCTCAGATGTGCAGGTAATGCTACTTGGAGCCATGGTTTACGGCTCTCACAAACTGCCACGTAACACTAACAATGCTGTCAAACAAGCTGTGATGCCCTCCGCCTTGTGTCGCCTTGTCGTGTAAACCCCCACGTATTTATACAGCGAGGAGCTACAGATGCTGGCTTTTCTTCTTCTTTAGCGTGTGGAATGAAAATCTTGTGCATATGCGGAGGAGCAGGACAAGGTGGGGGTAGATGTAGTCTTGGAAGGGGAGGCTGAAAAATCGTGATTGGACGCCAGGTGATTTAGCGACAGTGTTGGGCGTGTTGAAGAACTCGGGGTTAGGTCCGTTGAAAGAAAGGAAGGGGTGCCGAACATCCCCGCACAGGAGTGCCCGGCTCTGGGGCTTGGTGGGGTGGGGGAGGAATGTCATCTGTTTACGGAGACAGGCGAAGACACCTCTGATACTGGAATTCTGGGAAGCCACACTTGATAGCCATTGGGCACGCGTGTACGTGCGTTGGCACGACGGGACAAGCAGGTATGCACAGGTGTAAATAATATATGTCAGTAACTCAAAACAAGGATGTGTAGGTCATTATCATCATCAACCATGGTCAATCCATTGCTAGATGAAGGACTACCTAAGCTGCCACCATTGTTCCTGCGATGTAATAATCTACCCAGCACTGGCACTCGAGCTGATTACATCGCTCCATCTCCTTTTCCATCCCTTCGCTGTGGATTGGTGTGGATTATCACGCTCAAGATACATGCATCGAATTGCCTGTTTAGGAATCCATCATCTTCCATTTGTATAAGTTGTATGCAATGGGCTACGTGAAACCCTGCAGCCATTAGAGGCACTACATTTAACAGAATGTTAAAAAAGAAAGTTGTTTCTTGAGTCACATGTGTGGCGAATTGTTGCAAGCTCACTGAATATCCTCCGATTTCGCTTGGCCACCCACATCCCTCGACTCTAGCTTTGTTTAGTCTTTGATTCTGCATTGCCAAGGGGAGCACTGGTACAGCGGTTAGTGGACTGCATTCTGAACACACACAGCGGAGTTTGATTCCTGGCCAGGGCTAACATCAGTGGCGAGCCACATCTGAACCTGTCCTGCCTTCCCCTTTTCCCAAATTTTTATTCCCAAACTCCACTGACCAACGTGGCTAACAGGAATGGCCCGAGGATTGCACTGGCGCACGCACACGCAGTGCCCTGATTGCCTCTAATGGACTAATCCCACGCGATGAAAATTCTAGGCACGTGTTTTGACCAGACACGGCACCCGATTATCTGTTTGGCTCACGTTTAATGACAATTGTGAAACCGCGCACGCACATACGAACAAGCGTGCGTTTGAGCCAATCTCGCAACGTGACCAATTTTGAGTTTGGGAAGAAAATTAAAAAAACACAACGAACATTGCGATACGTGAACGGGCTAGAGCACGCCGAGAGTTTGTCGGCAAGCGGTAGGATAAGCTTTGCAACTGCAGGCTGTTTGGACACTCTCCCACGGTGGAGCGACGCTGGATGATGTGGTCAGGCCACACACGCAATGTTTATTTCATCACTGGGGCCAATTTTAATTGGTTTCATTCATTTTACTGCCTGTTCAGACAGAGCTAATGGTGAATGAGGAACCTAAACCAAACTTTCAACCAGTTGTCAAAAGCACTTGAGCCCACTGCCGCATGTCCAGATGGTGCAAGATTTCGTCGATTGATAGATTAATGTGATTCTTAAGCTCTCTGTGTGTGCCTTAAGTGACGTGTGTATTTATCTCATATTTATTGTTGATGCAACTGACAAGTCAATGAAGCTAATGGTATGTGGAGGCTAATAGGACGAACAAGATGAGACATTTAAAAACAATGACTCATCTTGTGTAAAAAAAACATTGAATTGATATTCAGAATCGTGACAATTAATCAAATCTTTGTGGGGTTCAGTACGTGGGGGAGGGATAGGGCTTAATGTTTACATACCACCCCGAGACATACCGATACATTTCATGATATGGGCATGTGTGTTATTCTACATGATGTGTTCATGTGACCCATCCAACCACTAGACAGCCGCTACATTCACCATAATGTATTTTGATTCAAACAAATCACAACTCTGAAGAGCGACAAATAATTCAGTGGTGATGGGGCGAATAATTACAACTCTGATTGGTTACAATTGACATGATATCAGGTTCTTTTCGTAAAAAGTAAAAATGGGTTATGGTGCAGCCCTGCAATTGCCTATTCACACCACTGCTTTGTGGAAGGTCCTCCCACTCAGGGGAGCTCCGTTGAGTCCCTGTAGAGGGCCATTGGCTGCTTTCTTCAACAATAGCCAGACGTCTTGCAATAGATGGGGCGTACCTACAACTCCGCTCCACAGCACACGACCTGCCGAGTGGTTAACCACAGCATGTGCCAAACTAATGCGTCGCTTCAACTGCCGCGGCAGAACACCGAACGAGCGACCTCTGGATCGCAAGTCTGGTGTGCTCACCAATACACCATGCGTGCGAGCTTCGTTGTTCTATAAGTATGCGCGCAAATTCACGTACCTGTTGTGTTCCTGTCCAGTAGTATAATTCGATGAGTTTATGTCAGTCGAGTGTTTAGCATGGCGATACAAATCACCCTCATGGACAAAAGCGCGTGCGCACGAAGGGCTGTTCTTCGCTTCTCAGTCCCTTAAGCACGAAAGAAAGCACAACAATACGTGGCGTGGGCAGTGTTAATCTCCAAACGTATCTTTCGCCCACTGTAGTGTTAGAAGAGTTCAGTTCTTTTAACATGGCAGTGTAGCCCTTTTAGTGGTAACCTTCAATGCATGGTAGAATTTTGTTTGGTGGCTGCGAGGGGGGGGGGGGTTGCAGAAGAATGATTTGCGTTTTACAGAACAGTATCTTTTTGTTTCAGAAAGGATCCCCCGTATTCAATGCATTGAAAGCCAGAAATTGTATAGTTTCTTACCATCAATGTTCATGATGGCCCAAACCATTCCCTTTCCTGCTCGCAGATATTCATTTTGAGGCCCAGTCAACCTGAGGGAGCAGTGTAAATGGGTATGCAGGTCGCGTGTGGTGCGGTGAAGTGTGGGTACTTCCACCTCTTTCAAGATGTCTGGCTCAATAGGAGGCCCTTCTGCCTGCAGTTGCGTGAGTAAGACATTGCAGAGCTGCACTTCTACCTAACCTTAGAGAAGCGCATGCCTGGCAAAACATGCTGAGGTGGCGCGATGGCAGAAGGGGCACCGCGGTGGTGAGATGTTAACTCCTTCGCCTGGTATTCAGGAGGTGGTGAGTTCGATCCCGACCCTGACGCATATTGCATATTTGGAATATGCATGTCTCTCTCCCCGTGGCCGTGTGGATTTTTCTCCAGGTCCTCCAGTTTTTGCATGTTGATTTAGAATCAAAATGCGTTTAGAGTATTTGGCTGCCATACATTTCCACACGATAAGCCACTTCGTTGTGCTATTATTTGTGGCCAAGTTGCTTCTGGAAAAGAGCTATATAGGTCAGTGGACCTTATATGGTAAAATATTTTTTTTGTAAATGTTCGCTCATCGTGCTACACACATTTGATAACCTAGATCTCATTGGCAGCAGCGATGAGGACCCAGAAGTTTGAAACCAGTCCAAAGCTTGTTCGCTTAAACACATTAATCTGGACAATATTGGGGTGGAAAGTCAGTCGGCAGATTGACTAAAACATATTTGTATTCCCGTTTGGAGATGGAGAATGGAGTTCTGCTTATATTGCCCTTACCCATAATTCCCAACAACGACGCATACACTATAGAGGGGTAGCTCACAGGTGTATTCCACTCACTTTGGAGGCCCTCCCGCAATTTACACGTGTGCAAGTGTGTTTATCTGTGCCACAAGGGCATGAGGGGATCAGGTGCTGAACCAATGTTGACAAAAAAGGTTTATTGGGTTACGGGCACACTTACAGCAAATACTTGCACTAAGTTGCCCCAGGCATGCCTTTGCTACAGCGTGGCAGTAAAGCGATAAAAACATTTAAACCAATGCTCAGTAATGGAGGTTAAAGTCCATCATCAGCTTTGTAGTTTTCCTACGGTAAAGATTGCTTGAAAGGAAGAAGTAGAACAAAATGTAACTCGTGAATTATTTTATTTGTTTGTTTAGTTATTTATTAAAATGTTTTACCAAGAAACAAGCTGGGCAATACAGGCCACATGAGAACCTTTGCTCTGCGAACTTCGCCAAACCGGATGTAAATGACATGTGGCACGTCTTCCGGCGTCTTGTACGATAATTTATGTCTATAATTTTTTTTTAGGATGTTGTTACCAAATTCCTCATGCAAATTGAAATATGTTCTGTTAATGACTTTGAGTGATACGACAAGCAGATTATTATGTTCTTTTCCTTTCAAGTCCCAAATGACATGTCCTGCATTGACACACCTTGAGAAGAAAAAGTTGCTGAAAGACATCTCTTTAAATATTTTTTTTACGTTTCAATTATTTTGAAGTGCTTTTGTGAAAACTTCCTTTTGTTTCTTAATGTCATCGTAACAATACTGTGGGTTTCTCACATGGGTGAGAATTTTTTTTTTAAACCCAAACCTTTTGGCAGATAATGGAGTTTGTTGAATTCCCACAACGCCTCGCAGCGAGGGCGCTCGCTGTTTTCAATATGGCCCGGTGTGTGTCACGCGCGGATTCTAAGAAAAAAATCGAGAAAACAAATTGTATTCAACACAGGCCTGATTTGAATTGTGACGAACACGTATTTTGTCTTAACCTAGCTGTCAATATGCTCGCACTTACATTATTGTCATGAAACGTGCATTTTAAACGTGTTCCTTTGAAGGCAAGGGAATGAAATAGTGTATCGTTTTCAAATTTTTATTTTAGATACCTATTACATTACGCAGATCAGTTTACAGATGCTCAAGACACATTGACCAGTCTTGTGTTATACGGTTTATTAACCTTATTTAAACGGTGCATACTACCTCCTCAAACATATGGTTCATAAACATGGTCATTGATTTTTCGATTTAAAGCTTTCGTGACTGCAATGATTCATCTTCTTTGGTTCTTTCGGTAAAGTCACGTAGAATGAGAATAAAATAATAAATTGATAAAATAAAATAACACAATAATATTCTCACGACGTTTCGGCCACAACACAAGCGGCCTTCATCAGGTGAAGGGACGAGACTGTCTGGTAGGACAGCGCTGGAGTGAAAGAGCCACGTTCAGATCACGGCCTTTAAGCCTCAACTATCTATCACGTGGTGCTAAAATTGAGGCTTAAAGGCCGTGATCTGAACGTGGCTCTTTCACTCCAGCGCTGTCCTACCAGACAGTCTCGTCCCTTCACCTGATGAAGGCTGCTTGTGTTGTGGCCGAAACGTCGTGAGAATATTATTGTGTTATTTTATTTTATCAATTTATTATTTTATTCTCATTCTACGTGACTTTACCGAAAGAACCAAAGAAGATGGTCATTGATGGCAAATATGGATGGAAAATCGCTGAAAAGGTTGCTGATAACAGATGTGTGCTCGAATTATATTATTTGTGAAAGAGAGATGAAAGCATCCATTAGAGTACATACACAGGTGATAAGACAACATTCAAACTGTTAATAAAAATAATTTGGCTTGGGCATTGAGATTAAATCATTATTAACTTTGAAAACCTACTGCAAAAAAAAAACACGTCTGTTATTTCCATTAATCCAGCCATGAAACCCACGTAATATTAAAGACGAAAAAAAATGAATTAAATGAAAAATATAATGAGGGGAGAAATCTTATTAAAGTCATTACACCGATCTAATCCTCAAGGTTATGCAAGCATTAGCGTCAATTTGTTTCCAATTCCCCGGGCCATTACCTTAGCGATCGTGCCACATTTTTCTAAAATGCCGGTTGGTTGTGCACCGTGCCAGGGCGATAATGCCGTGGGGTGTTTGTGATGGGGCCAGAGGCAAGGGGGGCGACTGTGGGGGGGTTCAGTGGCCAGCGGCACAGGCAAGGGGGGCGCAATGGTGAGAGTCTGGCTACATAGAGAGGGGGGCATGTAAACTAAAACTATAAACATTTTTTTTTTATTTTATCAGCTAAGACCCACTGAGCTAGATAGCTCTGTTTCAGAAGTGACCTGGGCCACAAACTATAGCTCAACGAAGTGGCTTATCAAATGGAAGTTGATAGTCGCCAAATACTCTAAATGCATGTTAATGAACAGAGAAGGAAAAACTGGAGGACCCGGAGCAACATCCACATGACCACAGGGAGAACAAAATGTAGACTCTAAATACACAGCAGGCATCAGGGTTGGGATCCAACCCATGAACCCCCTGCATACCAGGTGAAGCAATTAACATCTCGCCACCGTGGCACCTAGAACCGCACCTTAACCTTGTCATACTACCGATTTCATCATCGCAATCGAGGATGCAGTGCTTTGAATGGCCGTGAACAGCTGTCCTTTCTCTCTCACCCACAGACATTGACGAGTGCGCGTCGAGCCCTTGTGGTAACGGAGGGACCTGTCTCAACCTGGTGAACGGGTTCCGCTGCACTTGCCCTCCACAGTGGACAGGACACACCTGTCTAGTGGGTAGGTGACATCCAGTGCACGAGTTCTACACCAGTCTGAACTCACATCGTCCTCCACAGTGGACAGGGCACACCTGTCTAGTGGGCAGGTGACATCCAGTGCACGAGTTCTACACCTGCCCGAACTCACATCGTCGGCACTTTTAGGATTCTGAAGGCTCAGCGTCAATAAATTTGGTTCAAGGAGGCTGACCAAGGCGCTGTTTGTATTCTTCAGGTTCGGTGCCAATGCCCAAGGCTCATGGAGCCATCTAGAATATAATACTCAAAGCTCCAAGTGTCTCATTGGTAACAATGTCATTGTATGTATGTTGACCTTCTTTCGCACCATATGTAGTCAACCTTGCTAATCGGAGGTGCAGGGGAAGGACAAGAAACTAGACAAATTGGGGTGGTGCTTATCACCACTGGTTCCGAGCCTGCGGGATAAATTCCACATTCATATGGTGGAGACCAGTCACTCCATAAAACAGCCGCTGCTGATTAACCAAAGAAGTTACCTGTTTTGTCGACCCACTGTGGGTGATTATGGGCTGACCCGACCCCTTTGCAGATATTTTCGACTCGCAACTTTGCGGCTGCGAGTACGACCCTCTGCCAGCCAGCTTGAAGCTTGAACAATGCAAAAGTTACAATTGCGTCATGTGCCCGGATGAGGGGGGGGGGGGAGCCCGCAACATGTTTGCTGCAGCAAAGTTAATTCCACAGTGGCAAGATGTTAACTACCTCGCCTGGTATACAGGAGGTTGTGGGTTCGATCCCGACCCTGACGTCTCTATATTTGGAGTTTGGATGTTCACCCCATGGTCGCGTGAACCCCTCCACATTTAAAATCAATGTGCGTTTAGAGTATCTGGCTGCTATAAATGTTCACACGATAGCCACTTTGTTGAGCTATCATTTGTGGCCAGGCCGCTTCTGAAAAAGAGCTACGTAGCTCAGTGGGCCTTACCTGGTAAAAAAAAAATAAGTTTATAAATTAGTTCATAATCCTGCCGACCGAAGCTCGTCCCGCCTACGTATCTCAGGGAGGTGTGAAGGAATTCTTCCTTTCCAGTCAGTGCCTTACATGCTTGAAGGTGACGTTGGCGGTGGCTGCGCGTCGGCCTTTTTACAGATACGGACGAGTGCGATGACAACCCTTGCGTTCACGCGCGCTCCTGCAAGAACCTTTTCGGAGGCTACTACTGCGGTTGCCTGCCCGGGTGGACTGGACAGAATTGTGACATTGGTAAGTTCACCTCTGTCCTACACGCCCACGTGCATCATCGGTGTCAAACAAAAACACAGACGTGTATTTCGATAGACGCTGAAATCAATGCTATTCTTTCGCCCAATTACCCAGTATAATGTGCAACCTCAGGCCAACGTTTGGCACGTGGTTTGAGCAATTGAATCAACATTGACAAAATTTTCCACATTTATTGCCTATTTACCTATAAACAAGGCATGTAACAATCCATCTATAAACAAGGCATGTAACAATCACTCGATAAAAATGCATATTTTATGTTTTATTTGTGTATGATTTCATGCATTGATTATCCTATGGCCACGTGAGGTATTCTATGGCTGCTCGAAATCTACAGCTGCAATTCATGGTGCAAAGGGTACCATGTATAGGAGTGAGCAGCAGGATTCTAAGATGCAGCAAAGCCCATTCTTTCGAGCAGTCATTGCAATGCACCACAATAGGGGGATGGGGGTTAATCATGAACAGGTTTGGACAACGGCACTTTGCTGACTGGCCGCTTGTTTCTGTCGCGGGAGTTAAAAGGGCAAAATAAATTTCATGTCGTGTAACTTCAAACGCGTTGTAAAATAACCACCAACCATTTCCAAATATGAAATACCTTGAAATGTATGAGTGGGAATTTTCATCACCATTATTGTTATATATCAAAGGGGTGGTACAGTGGCTAGCGCGCGCTATGGACCCGGTGACCCAAGTTTGATTCCCGACGCACGGCTAACATCAGTGGCGAGTGATCTATCAGAATTGGTGCTGCCCTCCCACGCCTACACAGAGACAAATATCCTCCGTATAGCCTTAACAGACTGTTGGGGCAAGTGCAGTTAACCGACACGGCCCACGAGGCGGTGGGGTGGGGCTTGAATTCTTTACCACATTTATGTTTCAAAGATAACTGGACAGCAGTGATATTTAGCTTATATTTCCCTAATTAAGATGTAAAAATTCCTTTGTGTCACCTGACGACGTGACTAATTTTGGTGGTGGCTCTCGAGTGCAGTGGTGCTGCGGTTGACCGCAAGGGGGGAGGAAAAAAACCCATCATCACCACGTCTTCTTCATGAGTTTGCACTTTTTCCGCGCGCACTTGAGGCGCGCACGCGCAGGGCTCAACAGCCCTCTCGTTTGCGCACCACTCGCCTCTTTTTTTCGTCGCAAAATGGTTCTCGAACGCTTAAACCCAGCTCGTGACCCACTAAGCCCTCACTGTGGTGGCCCACCTGCAAAAATACGTTGTAGGAATGCTCGTTCATCCTCCTGTTAGATATATCTGCCCAGTTGGGTTTTTTAAATTTGCTTTTTAAACAGAGCCGTTATCTTATTTTAGATGCTATAAGCCCATCAAAAGTTCGCTCCAGTCTCGATATGTCCGGGCCAAACTGATTGTATTCCTGGGTTTCTTGTCTGTCAGGTGCGGTGGCACACGCATGTAATTCAACATTTTTGATATATGCCTCGCAGCATGCCTACAAGGTTGACTGTGCAAGGCAGAACAGAAAGTAGGTCCTTGACCTAACTGTGGGGATTATTTTCCTTTACACGCTTCGGATACTCCAATTTCCTCCCACATACAAAATACTCTGAAAGAAATCGACCAATTCCCAGGAAAACAATCAAAAGTTCCATGGCAGAATCAGCCTGCACTGTCACCCTCCCACACAAAGCAGTAGTGTACTCATTTTTATCAGCCCCGGAATTATGACAGAGAAACTTGATCCTTTGGGGGATTTAAAGCATGCAACTTTCCAATTCATCATTTGGTCACTGTGTCAAGAAGCCACCTGGCTGGATTGCAGAATTAGCCTGGGTGTGTTCCCTGTGTCGGAACACTGCACACCAAGTGTCCCACCAATGAATGCCCACGCTCCGGCGCGCACCGGCATGTTGTGTTGTTAATGCGGTTGCTCCGCCAGCGAGAGGTGGCTTTCCTTTGGAGTGCTCCGTAAACAACGCCATGGCGACACCGGGCCGTTCGAGCCAGGCCTCATTAGAGGCCTGCACTCTACAAACACTCGCCTCTGGATTCTGTCCCAAATGACGCGATGACCTTGAAAGTGTTTGTTATTTAACAGCCCCTCCCACCAACAAATTTGACTCTACCTCTCTTTCCTGTGGCCATAACCTCATCGCAACGTCTCCAAGCCACAAACACATGCCTTGACAAAGAGGGGGGGGGGATATTGAACGATGGTGAACCCGGTTTGAGACTTGATGTAGTCGATTGATTTATTTTTTCATGCTGCCCAATAGATGTTTTATTGTACTGTGGTCACCCCACATCCATAATGAACGTTTGGAGAATATTCATAATTTAAGAATGATGTGTTCTCAAGTAATTCATGACTGGTAATTGATTGGTTAAGCAATGCACATGCACATTCAACAAATCACAGATACATCGATATGTAGAGGTCTCCAATCTTTAGTGCATTGCAAATGTGCAACACACCTAATGCACGTGTGCCCTCTATTGCCTGTCTAGAGACAGATTTTTAGGAATCGTAGTAACGATCTTCTATCTGTTCTCTTTAATTTCACCAGATGTCAATGACTGTGAGGGGAAGTGCTTAAATGGAGGAACATGCAAGGTAAATGCCGACCCACAAACACACTTCCTCTGAAGACATTTCATTGCATTGTCTCATCGTCATGTGCATTCACTTACAATTAATCGTCTTCTGGGCGCCAATGGCTTAGGATATGAGACTTTATGTGTAAGTCATATACATGTTGGGGGAGCATATAATACCAAAAGCCTCATACTGCCTCCTTACTGCTGTGGATTATTGCCTCTGCAGCTTGACCCAAGTAATTGTACATGCGCTTGTTATTACGGGCGCTGGTAATGGTTAAGAGTAAAGACTTCTATTGCAGCTTAATGCTCACAGCATGTAAATTCCCCGTGAACTTAGTTTCCTTATTAATGAGTACGTGCCACCCCAGACACTCATTGTATATATATAAAAAAAATAACATGAAAACATTTTAATATTTAAGTTGTCTAGAGTTATAAGAATAGGTTTTTACCCTTTTTTCTGGCAACAAAACAGGTGTTAAGTTGTTAAAACACCAAACTGAAACCTTTTTACAAGGAATCATGTCTGCATTAACCATAATACTTGTGGTCAGAATGCGAACAAAAAACATACTCTGATAGTATGATGCATTGTCCTTGAAACTGATTGGTCTTAGACCAGAGGATGCCTCTGGTCTAACACCGTTTGAGACGAGGCTCAAAAGAAAGCTGTCTCTGGTATGGACCAATCAGTTTCAAGGACAAAGCATCATATATTATCAGAGTATGTTTTTTTATTGCATTGTGACCACAAGTTTGTGGTTAATGCAGACATGATTCTTTGTAAAGAGGTTTCAATTTGTTGTTTTAAAAACTTAACACCTGTTTTGTTGCCAGAAAAAAGTGGAAAAACCTATTCTTATATTTTGGTACTGGCAAAGGAGGTCCCATGATGTTGTCTAGAGTTGCGTTGGCTTGTGCCACAGTTTAAGAACAAAAATGTGTTGTATTGATTTCTCTTGTTGAGAAAGTGCATTCACGGAGATACGCAGAATTCATTTTTCTTTTTAAATACTGTAACACTTTGCCATGAAATGTTTCCATTTGTGATGGGGAACAATCACAAAACACTGCTGCAACGAAGTAAATGCAAAGTAGACAACACCGCAAACGGTGATATTTCACGCATCGACATACGACGCCGTTCCACTCTCGCAGGACCTGGTGAACGATTACAGCTGCGAGTGCAAGCCGGGCTACACGGGCAGACGTTGTGAGACGGAGGTGAACGAGTGTGCTTCGCACCCGTGCCTCAACGGCGGCCAGTGCAGAGACGCCATCGATTCCTACTACTGCGTTTGCATGGACGGCTTTGCCGGCGACAGCTGTGAGGTAAGTGTTTCTTTTGTTTTCGAAGCGAGGTGCGTGATCCCCGTCCGCGCTTCTGAGGCTGCGTCGCTTTTGATTGAGACCGGTGGGCACGTATATGGAATCCCAACGATGCCGTGGATTTTCATCCGCCAGGCTCTGTCATTGATGACGAACCCTGAGAACAGCTGTCCAACGTGTGTTCAGGCTGTACCATGTGTTTGTTCGGCGTGATGTCTGACGTTTCGCTGCACATTCTGGAAACTTTTTCTTGAACTGCACGTGTAGCGAAACGCGGAATATTGTGCCCAACAACACAACTCACAACAAAAAATTACGCTATAGAGATCCACAGCAGCGCAAACTGTGCAGTCTTTACACGCAAAGTGCTTGCCACAAATGAACCACAATACCTTGCTGATCTTGTAAAGGAGCATAAACCATCATGCGAACTCCAGTTATCTTCACAGTGGCTTTTGGATAACCATCGAATAAAGACGTTCACTGCATTACGTGCTTTTAGATGCGCTTCTGCGGCCATCTGGAACGCTCTTCCTTCAGAGATTAGAAAGCCACTCGAACTATGCTCCGCACCTCTGATTAGCGCGGTTGACTACTTAGGGGCCATCCATTTAAGACGTATGAAAAAATCTATCAAAAACTTGACCCCTCCCCCCCCCCTCCCTGTACGCACACGTACTTTTACACCCCTCCCCCCACCTGCGTACGTACGCTTGATGCACCCCCCCTCCCCCCGAATCCAATAGAACGGCCGATATTTAATCCACGCAGAAACGATCAAGGATTAATAATATTAACGTGTTTAAGCAAACAGATAGTCCACCGCCGGACTATCTAACTCATTTGAAGGCCAATGTAGACAAATTATTATCGAGGCTTCACCCCCCCCCCCCCCCATTTGCTATGCGTACGTACATTGTCAGTAGACTCCCCATACGCAAGCGAACGCATTTGGGTTTATCCCCCCCTCCCCCCTCTATGCGTACGGACTAAATGGATGGCCCCTTACGGTGCAAAAAAAGTTCAACATACAGTAGTAGAACCCTATGAATCTCATGGAATGCCAATCAAGCACTCTGTGGGCATTAACAATGAACCTAAAGAATTAGAAACATGAATTATTAAGAGTAGGGTAGTACATTTTCAAGAATATAAGAAGTGTAATTTAAGACAGATAACTTCTATTTCCTCAAGTAGTTCATACTTTTTAAATGTATTTATAGTCGTTAATGACAGGTCTTAATTCCGCATCTAGCAGGGGGAAAGTAGTGATGTTGAGGTGTGACGGTTGGTATCCTTGATGACCTCTTGACCTCCAACCTTGAGAGCACGGTTGATCTCCTTGAGGTTTAATTCGTGTTTCAAGTTATGTAGATTTTTTAAATTTGTAACTTTTGGCCAAATTCTTGGACCCCAGTGGGCTGCCACATACGCTGTGCTAGCTGTGTGTACCCATGTCAGCACTCACGTGTGTACATACATATCAACAATTCACAGCCACATTGTGTGCCTTTTTCAAAAGAGGCTTTCAAAAATGCTTTAATGCTCATCCAGTGGTTGTCTACTTTCATTGAAATCAGCTGCTGCCATTCAATTTATATGGAAAATGTGCTGCTCTGTTTTATATATATAAAGTGCCCTATCCCCAACTCTCTAGGTTATGTCATCTTCTGAACACCGTTGCAAGTATGCACGAATAATTATCCTGTTAAATAATTTATCCCGTCCATATTAATTGTTTACCCGTAATGTTGTTTCCGCTTTTTTTTTCACGCTGTCTGCGAAAATGCGATGGATCAGGCACAAAGCTGGGTTACCGGCTGGGTGACTCAGCGGTAGGAGCGAGCGGCTCGCAGATTGGAAAGGTTGCGAGTTCAAATCCCGGATGGGAGTTTGACTCAGCCCGTCATCCCCTCTTGGGTCGATAAAATCAGTGCACCACTTTGCAGGGACGTCAACAGTGGTTTTTTTTATATATATAAAAACTCACCTGCCCCCACCCTGGGCAGAGGAATGCGAAATTTTCACCACTTGCTCAGAGCTGTATATTTGCGCACTGCCTCGATTGAGCAAGAACTTAGTTTTACTCAACTTTTGCAGAGGATTTAGCAATATAACACATTTTTATACATTTCAATAAATATTTGAAGTAATGTGCGAATAGCTGAAGGAAGTTAGCTGCTTGTATAAGTATCCAGTGTGTTACCCTAAAATGCCGCATTTTGTCATTCCTCAAGAACCTTCTGTAAAATTGACAGCGCGCTTGCTGGAATGTCATTGTCCCTCATATCAAGAGTTGATTAATTGAGGAAGACAGTGTATAAAAGACAACAGGTCCATTAAGATGCCATCTCCTGAAGGGATTGTGTACATTTACTGCTTAAAAAGTAATGTCCTGGCCAGAAAAGCTGCTCCCATTTTATAATCAGGCAGCCAAGAACCACACAGATGAATTTGTCATCTCGAAGATAAAAATATAACATTTGGTTTGCTTAACCTGCTTGTTTTGGCTGCATTCACCCACTCTTGGCATTTGCGGTAAGCAGCTGAAGTAATTTCCTATGAACCTCGACTGTGTAATGCTACCCCTGGCAATATTTTATTAGACTTGTCAGCGTTTTAAGATTACCAGACAGACGACATAGGTGACCAATTGAACTCTGTAAGAGCCTCATAGAAATGGCAGCATGACCATCACATAATGAACAAAAGTTTCAGTGACTTGTTATTTATTTGAGCAACAAACACGCTAGGAGCCTCTTTAGGAACTTAATTTAATTGCTGAAGAAGCTGCCAGGACTTAGCACGAAACGTCGGACATCATGCCAGACATTACATGGCGCATCCCGAACACATGTCAGAGAGCTAGATGGCACAACCGCGAAAACCCTACGCAGTAGTACAACACTCACCACCACAGTTGGCACCAAGCCATTAGTGAAAATTTTACATTTCTAAGACGTTGGGCAGCCGTTGTGTTACGTCCCACTGTGGGTTTAGTTCCCGAAGAAGCTCCCAGGATGTGGAGCGACAACGTCGGACATCATGCAGGACAGGAGGCGGTACTAAGTTCGTCATTCTAAGAAGAGCAACGAACAAGAGGGGCGCTCTGGCAGCTGGAAGGAAGTAACACAAGGAAGCGTTGCATGGCAGCTGAACTTCCCCTAGGCCGCCCCCTGTTCTGTTTAAACAGTTGACGTCTCGTGCACGTCAACACCGTGGCTGCTTGCTTACGCGTGTGTGTCTTCCGCAGCTGGGGAGCGGTAGTGTAGCGGTTAGCGCGCTGCGCTACGAACCTATCAACCCGAGTTCGATTCCCGCTAATGGCCAACATCAGTAATAATTATCTGAACTCGGTCCTGGGCCTCCCTTAGGTTGACTCAGCCTCAAATGAGTACCTGTGCAGTGTGTAAAAACATCACCATTAGGGAGACAAAGGCGGCTGGGCGTGGTGGTGGCCACCCACCACTTCGTGTGCCGTTGTGGCCTTCATAGGTGATCGCTAACAGCACTTGGTCCAACAGTCTGTTAAGAATATACGGGGGATCTTTGTCTTTGTTTTGTCCTCAGCTGGACGTGGACCTCTGCGTCCCGAACCCATGCCAGAACGGGGCCCGGTGTGTGAACCTCCCCAACGGCGACTACTTCTGCCACTGCTCGGAGAACTTTGAAGGAACAAATTGCACCCTGCTGAAGGACCATTGCCTCACCTCGCCCTGCCAGGGTAAGTCGTTTCCCCAGCCGCAATCGTCGCCTCGATACCCGAGTTTTTGCTTAATTTTCTGAAGGGCTAAGAGCCCATTGATGTCATTTATTTCATTTTTCGAATCAATGCTCGTGAGCCTTGCGTGTTAACACAAGCGCGAATAGTTTGGTGCGCCGTGGTACGTGCTGAAGTGAAGACGAACGCGTTTGCTGTAGTGGCCGTCTTTCCGCCAACAGTGACGTAAGGAGGCCATTGCACGGCTGCACCTTTACCCATGTCTGCTGGCACGGAAAGGTAAAAAAAGTGAAGGCTTCCTCGCAGCCTCAAAGGAGCGTGTGGGCAGGTGATACTAGCCAGCTCTTGTGTTGAGGTATCATTAATGGTATTTCCACAGCAATCAATCAAGCCTTGGACACTTGCATTAGATTGAGACACCCTTAAACCTAGGACAGAGAACGTTTGATTAATAGCAGCAACTGAAGGCTGCAAATGCTGGAATGAGCAGTGGTGTATATTGACCGCTGTGCATCTGTTGTCAAAGTTGCTACTAAAAAAAGTTCATGATTCTGTATGACTAAGTGACTAAACGTGTGTGGCCTAGTAGTGTGCATGGGTGTGGAACAGTTGTGCATTGGTTAGCTTCCCTGCACTGCAATACCAGTGACCTGGGTTACATTTCCAGCCGTGGTTACTATAACCTGCAAGTCGAGTCTAAACCTCTCTTGGTTTTCTCCCCCCCCCCACCCACCCCGGCCCCCCCCCCCCCCCCCTTAAAGGAGCGCTGAGTACATTGTGTAAAGATCGACCCTCTGGAGACAAATGTAGCCAGATCATGGTGCTGTCGCACACCACAGGCCTTAATAGATGCTCACTCACAGCACTTTGCCCAACAGTCTATGAAGCTTAATGGGGGATCTTTACCCGAGGCTATTATGCATGGGTATAGACCACATTGTATGTATCGTTTTTAGACTAAGGAGGATAACAGTTCTAATTAATTATGGTTCAGGTTGCCACCCACAGAAGCAACCCTGTTTGTTGTTTCTGGTGGCCTCAAACAGCATAGAGTATTTTTTGCTGCAATCTTGAATTTGAGGATAAACTGTAGTTATTCTAAGCGATATCGCAATGTGAAATCATTTAATACATAAACAACTGGTGGGTGGGTTTTTTTTCTTCCCCCAATGTGCAATGCATCATAGTTGTGCGGGGTTTTCACTCTGATATTGAAATCTTTATTTTATCAGCATTACTAAATTTTTAGGTGTTATTGTTATTTTTTATTGGACCGTTTAAATCAACGTGAACCTTTTTGGCAGGAGGCTCGCTGAGATGTTTTAATTTTTCACAGCGGAGGAAAAGGAAAAGGCCATAAATAACACTTTGTATAAAAATACGCCTCTGGTGTTCAAGAAGAATTTGGAAATCTGCTCCTCAAACACTGTACATGTTGGTCAGCTTGTTTGTTCAGCTTGCTCAACATCAACATGAGTTACAGTCCGAAGGTTTTTAACGAACAGGCAGCTTATGCACATGTAAGGCATAAGGATCGTCAGGTTTTATGTAAGGGGCACTGTATTTTGTACAAATATTTACAGCATTTTTTGGGCCTCTAAATTCACGTTTTAATTGCGTGGGGTGTGAGGGGGGTGGGTTTCATCGAGAAAGAGTCCCATAATCATTTCAGACGTGTTCTTTTCAGAAGTGTATATTTTTATTTCTACTTAGAAGACCTGAATTTACACAATTTGAGTTGTAAGAACCATAAAAGCCCAAAAAAAGGGTTCACTTCAAATCTTAAAATTTTATGCTGCAACTGTGACAAGGGAAGTTCACTGCGTTATTGTTTTTACAAAGCGTCGCTAGGAGGTTATAATACCATGATTAATTTTAACACACACACAAACGCACACTTGCTTATTCACTCTACCATTACTTGGCTTTCACGTTAAATGAGTCCATCGTGCACCACTAATTAATTTATTTACATTTTGATTTAAAGCTTTCGTGACTGCAGGGATTCATATTCTTGGTTCTTTAGGTAAAGTCACGTAGAAGGGAAACAATAAAATAATAAAAATATAAAACAATAAAAACGTCGTGAGAATTTTATTGTTTTATATTTTTATTATTTTATTGTTTCCCTTCTACGTGACTTTACCGAAAGAACCAAGAATATTTATTGAAAGTTTTACCTCTTTAATTATAATAGTATGGAGTTAGAGTAGCTTACTTGTAGCTCAATAAGTCGAAGCTGTTTTCAAACATTACACTCCTTTTTTAATTGTGTGAGGACTTACAGGCAACCTATCATGAGTTTTGTGAAACCCATTGGTTCCATGCATCCATTGGCTTACATTTCTGTTCAGCTGCCACAATCTTCCTACTTTCTGGGAGTGTGGACTTCTTTCTCTCCGAATGGCTGTGAGTAATGCAGGCGCCACTTTGTACGACGCTACAGCTGTGCCCCAGAATGTTTACAGACCACTGAGCTCGGCTATGAAGCGTTGCCCTTTATTTCAAAAACTATGCGAGTGTGAAAGAAGGCCAACCACAAGCAGATGCATGAGCAGTTGGTAACTTTTGTCCAAATGTGATGTTACCTCTCCCCATCCCACTTAGCACTCGAAGCAACAAGACATTAACCACATCCACGCAATGAATCACGCAACACCATATGGACCTTGTAATTGGGAAGCCCGGTCGGCATTCCTGCAAGCCCTGTTGTCCATAAAACAAGCGGCATGCTCATATTTGGAGATCTTGTGGAAATGGCGTTGACCTCAGGACTCCAACCTGTCCTGCATTTGCCGACTGAACAATTTGCACAAATTCCTCACGTGCATCGGGTGGGCAGTGAGAGTTTGGTTGCTCAGTGTTTAGTGCACGGTGCTCGGAGCCCCGTGACCGGAGTTCTAATCCCGGTGGTGGCTGCCATCAACGACGAGCGGTAACTCAACTGGCCTTGGGTCTCCTTCACCAACTGACGATGCTGACCAGTGTCGTGGTGAAGTACGGTCAAACAACCACCCATGACCAACAGACTGTGGGGAGAGCCCTTCATTCTGCACTGGATTTACATGGGTCCGTGTATAATGATTTCATTTTTTGAAATCTTATTAAAATTATATTTGAACTGTTAATTTGCATTTTTTTCTCTAAATTTGTGTACAACTCTTTTGCTTAAAAATGCAAGTTTAAAAGTAACTGTCTCTTATATAAATGTTAGAGTGATAGATGTCTTTTTTTTCAGGCTTGTGCAACTGGTTTGTATTCATAGTCAGCAGTTGGCTGTGGGATATATTTCACTGGAAAATGAGGGAAGCTAAAACTTTTGCCAAGATTTGTTTTCCCTAAAGAGATGCATTGTTCACATAGGTCACCTTCTTTCTACTTCTACAAGTTGTACAATTGCTGCATAAACAAGACAAGTGGAACAGACCAGTCCAATCAGCGAGCCTTCATTGCTTACGCCCGCAAATGCTCTCTCACGCGCGGGTACACACGAGCAAAAATCGCATTGCACGCAAGTGCACACCAAACAATTCAACTGTAGTCCTCCCCTTTTCAGTATCGCCTGATCTGTCGTGCCGCAAGGTGACAATTGCATTAAATCTAAGGGAATCGTGGTTTCAAGGGTTAGCACCAGCATGGCACCAGTGACTTTGTGCTGCACCAAAGGACATTATTGAAGCGGAGGTTGAGAAGGAGACCTTCAAGGTGTATTCAACCAATGGCGCAGCTGTGTTGGTGAGCACGCCGAGTTTCACAACCAATGAAATGCAGGTTACAGATGCAATATTTTTTGTTGTTGCAATAAATGTCTTTGTTCTCGAGACAAAGTGAACGTGAAGGCCTTTGGGGAGGCTCATGTTGCCACGGACATTTGTGTTTGGCTGTGCTTTCTTAGTTCGTCTTCAAAATATAGATTAGTATTGCTTCTGCAGCGTAAAATCGTAGAATTGCCGTTTGCGGTATTTTGCGTTGAGAATATCGCAGGCATTGCTCTAGAAATAGTCAATCTGTGATTTATTTATATATCATAACGTGTGTGTTTGGGTGTTACAGAAACAGAACATGCCGGCCTCTGGCTTGCTTATCCTGCTTGCTTTTAGCATTGGGTCGTTACACATCGCCACCATCCTCAAGGGGCCATTGATATTTTATTTAAAATGTCTCAGTTGCAGAAGTGTTTTTTGCTGCATATTTGTTCTTAAAAGAACAGCCCAAAGGAAATGCCTTAAAAAAAGAGTGCAAGCTGTCATAGTTTATGAATTCTGTTCACATTCTCGGTTGCAGAACTGAACTATGTCATGTGCCATTACTAAACGTTGAATTAAACATTGCTCAAGAAGAGCATGACAGCATGCGCACAGCAGGATTAGACACGAAAGCCTGCCGTGCAGCCTGCCGTTTATCTTACTTTAAATAACACTTAGCGTTGTAACTACGTGTGAGAAAAAGTGAGAAAAAAATCGTGTCTGGCGATACAAGAATTGACCAACTGCTGACAACTTTCCTTGAATATCATCTGGTGCTTTTAATCTAAAATAACTTTTTAAATACATATGTTTTAATTGTTCAGCAAAACAACCTATGAGAGTAGCAGTGCAAAGTACCTTTTCATGCCATTTTAATTAACACTAATGTAAATTGTCAAGTCTATTTTCTATTATCTTACAATCTTCTACAGCAATTACTTGTACATAAATAATCCATTAACAAAAAATCAGCTCCATATTAGAGTCATAATTATATGATTATGTACAGCCCTTTGTCAGTCCACTGCTCAATGGCGGCCTTCCCTCGTGCCAGTCATATGTGTGTACGTTGAATTTCTTTCGCACCGTACGTAGCCAACTGTGCCAATCGGAGGTGCAGTGGAAGGACAAACAACAAACTAAACACATTTGAAGCTTTCGTGGCTACAAGGATTCATCTTCTTTGGTTCTTTAGGTAAAGTCACGTAGAATGAGAATAAAATAATAAAATAACACAATAAAATTCTCACGACGTTTTGGCCACAACGCAAGCGGCCGTCTTCAGGTGAAAGGTACAGAACTGTCGGGACGACAGAGCTTCATTGTCCCGACAGTTCTGTACCTTTCACCTGAAGACGTCCGCTTGCGTTGTGGCCGAAACGTCGTGAGAATTTTATTGTGTTATTTTATTATTTTATTCTCATTCTACGTGACTTTACCGAAAGAACCAAAGAAGAAAACTAAACACAGTTGCGAGTAGGTGAAAGGGAGAAGGATGCCCAGGGCCGGTTCAGATGCACGAGTCAATAACATGGAAGGCAACACCCAATTTATCTGTAAAGCATACACTGCAGCATTAGCTGCTTGGTTTATTATGGCCACGTTGATCAAATCGGATTCGATGGCCTGCTGTGCAGTCGGATGTGTGGCCTCAAGTGAAAGCCAGTGTCCCCCATATGTCAGTGGCAGCTGGTGATTATATCCTTGTGTGCGGCCCATCGCTAATAAGTTGCCACAATAGACAAGATTAGATGAACCTAGATTAGATGTGATACGATTATACGCTGGAGGTATCTGCCAAAGTTCTGCCCTCTAGGATTTGGCTGTTCCAACTGATACAGGCTAAACTAATTTTTTTTTCTGTTAACCTATATCTGGCAAGGATTTTCACCACGTAGTTTTCTACGTAGTGACCAACGCTCGCGGATCAGTGTGGTGAAGTATGATGAGAACAGCCCCCGTAGCCAACACCTCACGCGGCAGGCAATAGACTGACAAAGGGCTTGACAATATATGGCTATTAATTTACACTTGTGCATGTTCACGTGTCCATGTGCGCATTAGTCGCATGCGCTTATGAATCGCTTCAAATCCGTAAGTGGCAGCATTAAAATTGCATTTGCTTATAAATATAACCTGCGGCGGTAAAATTGTGCACAGCTATAATCGGTGAAATAACATCACAGGCATTGCAAATCAATGCTCACATTTAGAAATACAATCCAGACAGTAATTGTATCTAGCTTATTTTATTCATTTTAATTCAATTACAGGAGCTTGTTTTGATAGCCTTCAAGGGCGCAAGCCAGTCTGGAAGGGCACAGAACAAGCAGATGGGAAAGGCACCCAGCTAATCTGGGCTTTAACCGACCCATTCTATTGCATGTTTCTCAGCACAAATACGAAACACAATTCAACTCTATCGCTATTAAATGTAACAGTTTTCATATGCATACGGTCTGGAAAATTAGAGGTTATTAACGTGGAATTAAAGTATATGGGTAATAAGCAGCTCTGTAGCATATTATTGCATTTAAAGTATTCTTATGATGTCCTGCTCATGCCTTGAAAGCATTGAAGCCTACTGATATGTTATGCAGAAGTTTAACCTTTTTTTGTCTAAAATCCTTTCTCTTTGACGACTGGACTGATTTTGATGTGAAGAAGCAAATCCAGTCCTGGGCTTTCCCAAGGTCGACTCAGCCTCAAATGAGTACCTGGTGCAATGTGTAAACATCGCCACTAGGGAGACAAAGGCGGTCAGGCATTATGCTGGCCACCCACCTCCTAGTGTGCCGTGCCAACATTCATAAGGTGCCCGCTGACAGCACATGCTCCAACAGTCTGTTAAGGCTATACGGGGGGATCTTTGTCTTTTTTTTGAGTGGCCAGATGAGTGGGTGAGTGCGCGTATTGTTGTGACCTGTGGTGTCGTGGGTGAGAGTGTGAGTGAGTGAGTAGTTGGGTATGTGAGTGGGTGAGTTTATACGTTCCTGTGACCTGTGGTTTCACGCGGTATGGACAAGATGAAACAGTGAGTGGCCGATTCCTCAACATGATAGGTGGAGGAATCAATGAGTGAAGTTCACCGGAGCAGTAACAATGGTGGTAGAGTGATAGGGAGTGATGGAGCCGTTCGTTGTCGTCCCCCGGCACAGTTATCGACAGCTGCACGGTGGCCGTGCCCTCCAACACGTCGGAGAGCGGAGTGGCGCACGTCACCTCCACCGTGTGTGGCCCTAACGGACGCTGCCTCAGCCAGGCCGGTGGCAACTTTACCTGCATGTGCAACTCCGGTTTCCGTGGATCCTTCTGCCATGAAAGTAAGTGTGTTCATTTTACACTACACACATATACACACACGCTTTAAAAACCCGCCATGGTGATGTTGCCGAGTGGTAGTTTATTGCAGAGGTTTGCGGCGAGCCTAGTTGCTGCACCGGTCAATGCTGCGGGGTTTATTAATCGTAGAATGTGCTATAGAGTCGACCTTAAAGATCCCACGATGTCGCTTGCCTATTTGTGCCAGCGCCACGCTTTCAAAATTGGCAAACATTTTAAAAAACAACTTGCAGTTTACTTATATGGGTAAAAGCACATGGAAAAAAATGTCCCCTCCTTGGCAGACTACACTGTTCTTTAAAACATAGTGCCTTCGTGGTTACCTCGCATTATAGCAATGGCGTGAATACCAAATGCGCTATATTATGTTTGGTATTAAATCACGCATTCCAGGAAATTCCAAGAGCATCAAGACAATGTTCTAGAGCCTTCACCTTCATATGTTAAACCAAAGGTCAACAAACATCAGCAACCAAGGCAAAGATGTAAAAAGCCAGCCATGAGGAGTCTACAAGGATGGTCCTTGGTGGTCAGGTGATGACTGCAGCAGTTATAAAATCTCGTGGAATGGAAGTAACCGGCACTTTGCATTGGCAATAATGCCATCGGTCATTGGTTACTTCGTGACCTTGAACAGAGCAAATTGGACATTGTGAAGTTGATATGAAAGACCCACCGATATACTTTGCAAGTAGCAGTTCTGTACATCCATCATGGCTCTTATATGTATACATTTGAACCTTATAGCGGTACCCCGGCTCGCGCATAATGTCCGTGATGCAGTAATTTTTAGTCTGTTGATGGTCGGCGACGCGGCAATCGACTCATCTCGACGAGCTGTACTCACGATGCACCACTACAGTGCGTACGAGCGTTCAGGGTTTCAGCTCAATCGTCCTCGCTGCGTTTCAACATCACGGACTAGCACCGATGGCGGATTGATTGGTACCCCAGTCGTGGAGTGAAGTACACCCCTGGACAAAAATAGTGTCCCAGAAATACAGTATTTAATTGCCTCGGCCATTTTGTATTCTTTGGTACCCCGGGGTACTGCCATAAGGATAATTTGTGTGCGGAAACAGTAAATTAAAAACAAGCATTGAATAAGCCTAGTTTAACACGTAGGCTGGTACGTTGAACTTTGAAGGCTTCACCTTTATGACACTCAAACTCAGCAATTCATATAATTAGCAAGGTGGGGAATAATTAGTGAGTCTATAGAAGAAGGATATGTACTCTTCAGAGCCATTAATTTCAATTGTATTTGTAAACAACACCAAATATGCATTTTAAAAGGATTTCAACATTAAAACATGCAGCAATATCTACCCATTACTCTGTAATGCTACCAGTGATACTTAAGGCAAACGCTGTTGGTTGGCAATGCGGTAGTTCCGTGGTGAGCATCCGTCTTCTTCTACACCCATTTGAGTCTGTGTGCTTGCATATAATGCTTCATTGTTGAATCTCTTTACCTATCACCGTGGTGAAAGAGACCTTTTAGTGTTGATGTGTTTATGGGAAACCGTGAAGTTGTCTTTCAACGAAATATCAACTCGGCATTTTTTTGTGTTTAGTTTGTTGCCCTCCCTCCGTACCTCTGATTACCACGGTTGGCTGCGCACGGTGCGAAATAAGTTCAACATTCATGCATCCGTGTGATTTAATTGAGGTTCAACACACATTCATCCATACGTGTGATTTAATTGCAGCTGACAATGCACTGTTGGATGTTTTTATCAAGACTGACCCTGCCAATTCTCAATGTTTCTGATATCTGATCATAAATAGATCAATATATATTACAAATCTTCCCAAGCAAAGCCTACAACTGCAAACCCAATGAGTCGGTGGCAAATAATTACACAACGCCTGCGAGAGTGAGCGGTGACCTCTTTAGCCTCCCCGTCATTATTTCTGGGGGTGAACATCTCATCCAGGAGAAGTGGCACACATTTCGAATGCATGCCGCCACCCTGGCTGGCCCAGGCAAACAAAGAATATAGAAAGATTAGGCATTGTGCAACACCTGGCTAAGACTATCATCAAGTTACGTTACCCGGCTCAATAATTCGAGTGGCCTAAGCGGCTTCCTTACGACATGACTTAAATTGGGCAAGGGTCGCATGATGTGGTTTTAAAGGCCTGATCATTTATTTTTTTAAGCTGTGTGCTAATCACAGCTCCTGTGGTTAACTTTCAAAATCCTTCTCTTTTGACACCTTTGTTGTCCGCACTAGAAAGGCTTCCTAACCGCGCACAGATTAGTCTATTTACAATACCGTGTATATATGTAGCAGTAATTCTGTGCGTTGCAAATTATTTTCCTTTTCGAGTAAAGTAATTGCATTTTCCTTTATGTGAAATCCATACAAATCCTGTTTTGAAACATTACGTCCTTTGCAATGTAGACTTGGGTCATCAAATAAATAAAGAACAATAATATATAATATTTTGTTTATGATTTAGTCATTTGTGATTAATTATCACATTTGCAAGTCGGGTCACAGCCACCGGCGATTAGGTGGGTCATCGTAGCGCACAATGGTCTGATAATTTTCAATGATGTCAAAGGGGATGCATTTGCTCAGCCAGTTGGCTTTGCTTGTCTTCTGGTTATCAATGTGTGAAGCTAACAATAAAACTTCTCGTTCTTGTTTCATGTGACATTGAGTTGATCGGCAACATCTACACGTCCATGGGGTTGGCAAGTGAACCAGTGGGCAGCTTCAGGAGTAGCCGCATGGTTGAATATTTGAAATGCTGCCAGCGAATTATCGAAGAGGGCAGCGGTGTTACAATGCAGTCCACGGTTTTGGATCGGTTACGGCAGTCACATTGTGGGCTATTATTAATTTTCCACCATCGGTGTTGGACATGCCCGCATCTATGGCGACACTGCTGTAGTGGGTAGACAGAGGCTTCTCGCCGAGTCAGCTGTTGCAGGAATGCCGCCGCAAGCGCTACCATCTGATGGTCGCCGCCGACGCGAGCTTACAGGTCCCCAGACTCCGTTGCTCAATTGTTTCAGTTGTAAATGATGGTTTGGACGGTCGGTGGGTGATGTCATGTGACCTTGTAGCTTTGCGTTCCTGGGTTTTCCCGTTGCACCTATTGCGAATGCCATAACTGTAAACTATTTTGAGCGAGGTGTACAGTGTTCAGATTGCTTTAGGGGTTTTCAAGAGCAAACAAAAGGACAACTTAATATTTTTTGGCTCTGATGTGCAGTTATAAACAATGTTTACTATAGGAATAATAATATTTCTTATATTTATTTTTAGTATACCAGCATGATTCTCACTGCATGGCATGGGTGTATTATATTTGCTTATTTTGCATACACCGTATAAACAAATAAACAAAACATAAAGACTTTAATACGCATGCACACATTACATTAATAAACTGTAAAATCTCCCCTGATTTGAAGCTTTCGTGACTGCAGGAATCCATACTCTTTGGTTGTTTCGGTAAAGTCACTTAGGTAGAAATAAAATCAAACAAATCACGACGTTTCGATCGCAACACAAGTGGTCGTCATTAGGAAAAAAAAAGAAATGACAACCGCTTGTGTTGCGACCGAAACATCGTGATTTATTTTATTTTATTGCTAACTATGTGACTTTACCAAAAGAACCAGAGTATGTTAAATCTCCATGCTATTTTGTTTTTATAATCTGCCAAATTCAATATGTTCAACATTTTAATGCAAATGCATCTCAAAGAAATATCCTGACGGCATGCATTTCTCAGTTTTTTTAAGCTTACCATGCTCCACGTCAAACTGTCGTTGCGCGTGTGTATGCATGCGTGTGTCTCGCTGTGCCCTAGATGTGAACGATTGCGCGGAGGGCGCGTGTCACAATGGAGGAACGTGTTTGGATGGCATCAACTCCTTCCAGTGCATGTGCCCCGATGGCTGGGATGGCGAGTTCTGTGAGAACGGTGAGTTTCCCATCATCCACTCCGTGCACCGCGATGCCATTCATCCATCGGGGGGTTGGGGTGTTTAGCTTCGATGCTCTGTTGTTCTCACGGTCCTTAGAAATCAGACCTCGGTCTTGTTCGGCCGTTCCAGAAACGCTTCCCTTCGTGGTTCATTTCTCGATGGGCATGCCACCTCCTACTCCACAACCTCTCCCCCCCACCCCACCGTTAGCTGTTGCCATCCTAAACTGAAGTCTATTATTTGTACAATTTTCTGCCGTTAAAAGCATAGCCCACTGAGCTCTTTTCTGTGGTGACCCCATGACATCATCACGACTGCTTATCAGGGTGGCTTGTCTGGAAGTACGTAGTTCACCTAGCAGTATGAGCCACGCGGCCCAGTGTAGGGGGACTACGTGGGCCCCATTGGTGTGCTGGCTTGGACCGATAAAACCTGCCATGGGAATCTGCGGGTCAGGCCCACTTACCCAGTTCGCATTCTGGGCTAGCCCACTTTTCAGTGATCATGGGAATGCGGCATGAGTCAGACATGCCTAGAGTACCTACTTGCTATGGTTTTAAAGATTTGGCTGTGCATGGGGGCCCACAGCAGCACAGCTGGTTGCTCAGAGTGGGACAGACTATTAATGCCTCCTTTTAACTCTACAAGTGAGCTACGCTGGGGCCGCGCAAAGGCAGCCCAGCATTGGTCAGGATGCGGCAGTTGGTTTTTCCACTGCAAAATCCGTGCTGTGCCGCTGACGTCACATGCAATGAATACGTAATTAGCCCTGCCCTTTGCTCTGCTTAGCCCCGAGCCAGATTCAGGTACCTTGTGTGGCAAGAATATCAAAGTTTGGTTCTGGCTTGGCTCGGCAAATTGCCAGTGGAAAACAACCCATAACATTAAGGCTGCATGCTGGCTCGACTCGGATGTGTGCCAGTGTAAAAGGTACCCATCATTGATGGAAGCGGGGGGGGCATCTGTGATCTGTAGAAGGGAGGAGGGTAGTAGCAGGCTCGGAGGCATTGGATGGAGGAGGCTCAAAATATGATCCTGGCTTATGGCCCAGGATGACCCTAATCCATGCCTGGCGCCACCCAGCATGTGGTGGTACACTACACATTAGATAACCAATTGCAGAAATGTGGGGTATGCAATTTGGAGTATTTCAGGCAGGAGTTGTGAAGGGATTTTTGCACGTTGTAATTTTTTTAGGAGGATTTGTGAGTGCACGTATAATGCATAGCCCATTGTCAGTTGACCGGCTGCATGATGGCCTCACCATGCCGCATCGTTCGTGGGAGTTGTTTAACCATACTTCACCATGCTGGTCAGTGCGGGTGTTTCTGAAGAATGGAGGCTCAGGACCAGTTCAGATATCATTCACTACTGACGGCAGCCATGGCAGGAAATCAAACTCATTGCTGGTTTAATTGCGCCAACCACTGTTATCGTGCAATTGAGGTGAGCGTGCGCTGTGATGTAACATTTCCAGTTGTTCCATTCGCTGTCCTCTTTAACTTCAGCTGTCAGTTTTAACGCAATGCTACCAAATGCCGAGTTGGCTGGTAAATTATTACATAAGGTTGCCATAGAGTACTGAGCTCTACTGTGCGAGATGAGTCTCATACACAACGCGGTAATAGGTCACGGGGTTTAGTTAACACAAGTCACTGGAGGGGGAGTGGGGATGGGGTGGGGGCTGTGCGCATGTCTCAGCAGACTATTGGTATTGGCCACTGGCATCTGTACCAAATGTCAGCCGCGTTCATGTTATACTGCCCTTTTAACCGTATGAATTAGGTGGGTAACAATTCTGTCACCCAGCGATCCGATGAACTGTCACAATTTGGGTGTCACGCTTCGGTGTTAAGCTATGATTCCTATTTTTTATCTTGGTTGTTTGTCTGTCTAAGTTTTTATGTTTTATCCGCTGGAATGCTCATACGTAAAACTTGCAAAAGTACAGCAGTAAGAATCTATCTTAATCAACGAATCAAAATGTGATGTGGTTAAAGTGCATCGGCAGGCTGCGTGTGGTGCAGTAAAGGTGGGGGTGCTACCCCCCTCTTCCAAGAAATGTGGCCAGAGTGGAAGAGTAGGCCAAATAGCCTCTAGCGTGGCACTCTAAAGCTACCTCTCGTGGAGACTCTTCTGCCAGCAGTGGCATAAGCAAGTGATTGCAGGACTGTACCTTTACCACTTTACCAAAAATGCATGTGCAGGCTTATTTCTTGTTCATTTGAGCAACCAATTCAATGCATGTGTAGTGAGCATAAGAATCAATTTTAATCGATTCATCCTTGTGTCGTAAAAATTACACACACAGCAACGCTTGAATGTTGCGCTCGTGTCTCCATGCAGATGTTGATGACTGCAGCAATCACAACCCTTGCCTGAACGGAGGAACCTGTCACGACCTGGTCAATGACTTCTCCTGCGAGTGCAAGAACGGCTGGAAAGGCAAGACCTGCCACTCAAGTGAGTGCCACAAATTGTTTGGAGAGTCTCAACGCTCCAATATTTGCACCGTCAATTGTGGGTATGATGTCAATTCGAGCTATACACCCTCCAGCATGCGACAAAGCCAGAGAAATAACCTTGTCACGTGGGCAATTGTGTGATTTAATTTTGCTTTTCAGAAAACCGACATGATGCAGGTTGTAATCTCCAGCGAAATCTCATACAAGTCACAAACCTGCTCTGAAATCTGTGAGATATATATTTATAAACCCCTAGGTATATAGTTTTGGTGTATTTATAAGGGGTGGAATGATTCAATCCTAAAATCCCACCACCCCAATGTTATACAACAATTGAGTATTATTATTTGCGATGTAATCCCACTTCCTGCAATGTATACAAACTGGGAAAAAAAACCTCCAGTTACTTGCACACACAATGCGATAGTGTATCTCAAACTGAGGATTTGATGTTAATAATTAATGATGCACCGTTGCACCCTTTACGTATGTACAACGTATTGGTGATGGTTAATTGAACCTCTTGTGTGCGACCACGACTATGACCTCTAAACCGCGGACCGTATAAATTAGCACTGCCACAAACAAGACGCATGAAGGCAGGTGGCTGGGTGCAGGGGATGTATCTGTGATTCACCAACTCCTGGACAAAGCAATGTAATGGCTAAATCACAACCGAATCATCGGACAGTTGGTCTTCATAGGCCATAGGAAAGCAAAAGAAGAATTTAAAATATAATACCGTGTATGCAATTTTATATTCAAATAAACATATTAAGGCACGAGACTTTCCTTTTCCCACCCCCACCCCCCCTGCCTATGACAGACTTTTGCACTTTCTGGAATATGTAAATGAACAAACAAATGTTGAGCGTCTTTTCTGTGCAATGCCAGTGCGCCTGAGGTGCAATGACAGTGTGCCTGAGGTGCAGCTGCTAATATATCCAAACTGTACCATACTGTTTTTTCTTTTTTTATCAACAAAAACGAATTAAAGGAAAATTAAAATAAAACGTCAAGAAGAGAAATAATACAAGGGGGAGAATGCACACAGTTGAGCCTGGATATAAGCACACCCATTGAGAGCGAGGACAGGCGTGTTTATATCCACAGTAAAGTGTGCTTGTATCAGAAGTTGCCCCTCGCCTGCCCCCCCGGTGGAATGTAAGAACTTGTTGCTTGTATGAGAACTTTGCTTATACAAGGTGCGCTTGTAACCAGCATCTGCTGAATAAGCTCATAGATTAAGAATATAGTCAATAGCGCGACGTGTCCAGCCCTCGGGCCTTAACCGTGTGGCCTGCCCTGTGTTACACGTTAGCGCAATGTAAGACGGGCAGCTGGTAATGCGTTTGCATGCGTTTGCTTGTGTGTGTGTGGTGTTATTTAAATGTGGCACCTTGTGAACAGAAATCAGCCACTGTGACGAAGCGACGTGCAACAATGGCGGGGAGTGCTTTGATGTGGGAGACACGTTCAGATGTTCCTGCCCTACAGGCTGGGAGGGCCCCACGTGCAACATCGGTAATAGCCACCACCGCTCTGTCGCGTCACCCACCGCACCCCACCGCACCACGCAAGTTATTTTTGGTACCCCCCACGAAACTGCATCACGCCTCGCGCCGCTTTTCTGACGCATTTTAGCATCGTGGGGTATCGAGATGTGATTCATGCGAAAAACATTGCCTCATTTGTGCTGCTCGTTTTATTTTATTTTCCCATACGATGCTAAATCGGTGACTTGTGGTGCGTTCGTCTTTACATAACGCGTATAAAAGATGTGGAGTGTAAAAAAAAATTGCTTCCTGTCCAGGTGAGCATAGAGCCCTTTAACAGGTGGTGCAAATTCCATATTTCTGTGATGGGGATGAGTATGAAGTGGACATCCTGGACGAAGTGTATCACTGTGCATTAAATATGCACTTTATCGAATGAAAGCAGTGCTTCTGACATATATTATATTTGTCTCATTAATGACATGTATTGTTTAATGTCGCTAATTATAGCAATTGATAATGATGATACTTTTTTTAAGATGTGTGGAAGTGGTGGTGTTGTGGATAGCCCATGGTGCCATGAACCCAGCATACCTGAGTTTGATTCCCTGCCACAACTTAACATCATTGGCGAGTGGTCTATGAGCCGGTCGTCACCACCACTTTCCCTCCACGTCATCAACCTGCACTCACAAGTGTGGTGAATTATGGTTAAATATCCTCCACGACCGAAACGTTGTGGGAAGGCCTTCATCCAGCAGTGGATTGACAAAGGGTTGTAAATTTAATTGAAGATAGCAGTGGTGGTTCGATGATGAGGAGAAGAAGAATAGTAATAACATTTGTTGGACAATATCTGTCATGTTGCTGATAGATAACTGCTCGTTAAACAAACATGATGATGATGATATTGGTTTCACACTGACGATGGTGTTCGCACCATCGCTATCGCCACCGGTTAACAGCGACTGTTTAACGACGGTCATGACTCAAACGGTCGTCAATTAAACTGTTGACGATCCCAAGGCGATCACGAGGACAGCACGCGTTGGTGGTGCCGATGGCCACAGTGGCAAACTTGTGATGGGAAACCACACTCCCCCCGCCCCCTCCCGGTCTCCTCTACACTCGTTCAGCCCAGAGCATCGCGTGCATGCCGAATCCGTGCCAGAACGGAGCCACCTGCGTCATCAGCGGAGACTCCTACAAGTGCATCTGTCAGAGCGGATGGGAGGGCGCCAACTGTACCCAGGGTGAGTCACGTTGGCGTTGACATCATCACCAGCTCCAAGGAGGGTAGAGAGGGAGACACTCGCAAGCGCAGAACTAATGCGACCAACTGGCGGCACCCTTTTGTCGGCAGTTGCGCGTGACCATCGTGCGGGCACACACGCGCTGCGCCGCTGGGTGATGACGTCCGTTGCTGTCCAGGTTGTCACAATGCTGTTTGGAAGATTCGTTTCCCCATTCTTGTCCCCCCCCCCCCCATACGTTCGGCCGATCGCTCAACATCGAGCCACGTCGCACGTTCTCTTAACGTGCTGCTCATCGCTCTCCGTGATACGATTTGGATGTTTTGCAGCGTCTAAACGCAACCGAAAGTCGAGACACTTAATGCAACAAGCGGGACACAATTCGCCCCCAAATTATAAAAAAAGGAAAGATAAAAAAACTACGTTAACGATGAACGAAAATGCAAATTGTGCCTTGTCTTGTACCAACAAGAGAGCGTGCATATGCACAGACCTTTAGCGGTGAGAAGCAAACCCATAGCTTTTTTAATTCTTCATGTCTGCTACAGACATATGTATGATGGTCACAGTGTCCCAGTACTCAAAATTGAGCACTGGCCAGTACCAATCTCTCTTGGCAGTTTTGAGCTAGTGGTGAAGATTTCGCATTTGCTCCTCGGCAACGAGTTGCTCCACAGGGCAATCAATGTTGACTTAACGTTGAGTAGTATTCAACTGACCGATCGACTTCAGGTGGGGGAGCGGGGGGTGCGGAATGAAGGATCGAAGTCAACCCTTGGTAGCTGACTTCGTGTAGACTGCAGTCTTGCTTTTGAAGAGCTTTTGGAGCATCCTACGTCTCCGTAAGGCATCTAGAACATTTTTAGAGCCTTCTGCACCATTAATGTTCGGCACCTGTGCTGTCTTTTATAGACATTATTTGAAGCGTGAGTGGTGAAAACAAAACGAGTGTTTAATGGTTAATTATCGATGTGTTTAATACATCGTGCCACTCCCTTGGCTGAATTTTACATCAGCAGGCATCTGCAATATTTTTTAAATATTCAAAGAGAGGGCGTATTCCATGCTAAAAATGTTGGGAAAAGCCTGAGCCAAAACAATGCGACACTTTCTTTTCTTGTCCCCCTCCCAATCACTGAGCATTTGTGCCAAAAATTGTTTTGCCTTTCCTCGAGAGGCACTTGGCTGCCTGGTGTTTTGGAGCCAGAAGGGGAGACATTTAGTCTAATGATCGCTCTTATTCTGTTTGCACAGTGATCTCTGGCACCCTCCGCCGCCATGCATCTCTGCATATTCTCCTATGCCATGGATGATATCGACGTTAAGTAAAAAAATGAACCAGGCCCGCACATGCACGCACTGAAATGTGCAAGTGTGTGCTAAATGTTATTGCTCAGTTTATGCAGTTGATGCAATTGCATTTTTCCCTACCTCGGCGCTACCTTCTGGGTTGAAATTGTTCTTTCGTGTTGTAATTCACACTCTCCCTGTAAGCAAAAATCCAAGCTGGACAGCACTGTGGCAAAGACAAAAGTGCAGCCCCTACAATTGCTTGCTCACGCCACTTGGCAGAAGGGCTTCCACCAGAGGGAGCTCTCAGAGATCCCCTGTGGCAGAGCGATGCCGCTCACAACTGGAAGGCTTGCAAGTTAATATTTCGCTGATTAAGGATCAGCTCTGTCCATCATCAACCCTTTGATGTATTTAATAAAAAAAATATGTGCCCGCTTGCTTTTGGTCATCGTATTAAAAGACTGCAGCCCCCGACCATTACATTGCAGAATTTTGATCACTGGTGCAGGGCTACGAATGGACGTGGGTGCCTCCCAATGCTCATTTCCACATTGAGATACTGGGGGATCCTCTGACCATACAAGTATTCCTGTTGACATCAAGTCCCGTGACATTCCAGGAAGCCAGCGGCCACACACGTTATAGCTTCTCCGGTGTGTATTTGTTTTTGGGTTCTTCTGAACTGAACTCGCGGAAAATTACGCGGCCGTAGCATCGCTCACATTGACGTTACGTCACGCGCAACTGGATCGGTGATCGTACACGGAATCCAACAACGGCAGGCAAGATATTGTCTGAATCTGGGGTGAGGTAGCACCGGTTGTTTCGGAGAAGTGATCCTTTCCTTCCCTGTACGATGGACATTGCCACGGGCCTTTTAAAAGCAAAACCGCCCAGGGCTATCCATCCACGTGTCCACCGAGATAGATTGCCCTGAGGGTTCCGTGTTTTTGAGTGTGATATGTACAGAAAAGAGAGCTGTTTTTACAACCGAGTGGAACTGTTTAGTCTGGCTAACGTCGGAATACAGGAAAAAGGTCAGTGCAGTGCGAAGTCAAGTCTACCGTCGTTGTGTATTTTGCGAACTCAACAGGAAAGAGTGAGTGAAAAGAATGAAGAAAATAAAATAAGGAAGGGACAAAGCTGTTGATATTTCTGGCTTGACCTGAGCAATATTTCTCCACATGACTGGGAAAGGGAAGGTGTGTCTGCTGATAAAGTGGAGTGCAGGCTGCTCAGATAATTCATCAGCAAAACATGAGTCAAAAGAAAAACATTCTACTGCATAGACTCACATCACATATTTTTCCCTTTGCGTTTACTCAGCGCAACCTTTTTAAACAATTGCAGTGAACAACAGTAATCTCAGTAGGCCTGTAAGATACATTGAGTAAGCCTGTGTGTGAAATACACTTTAAATATATGTAGATAATGACTGAAAAATCATTAAAATCTGCCACCTTAAGAAATTACAAGGGAAAATAAATATAAATTCGTCATATAGAAACGTATTAATGTTTAAATGCTCAAACAAGAATTTGACACGTTTATCTTTGGCAAGCCCAAAGCCAGTCGCTATGGTAGAGACCAGTGTATTCATTTAAAAAAGAATCCTGCTTAATGGTACACATCACCAAATAACTATGGTACTCAATGATATTTATTACCAAATAACCATATGACCATAGCAATGTATACTTGCTCCATTGCAATAGCGATGATGTAAATGTTACATTGAACCTGTGATAAATGATCAATAGTTGCACTGCCAATGGCAGTCATCATTGTCACCTTCAGACATGATTAATCCACTGCTGGATGAAGGCCTCCCCAATCTGCCGCAGCCGCCTCTTGCGGCTCTGTGCTGTAGCAGCCATCCAGCACCTGGGCATGAACTGATATTATCCCCCCATCGCCTCAGTGGATATGATCTAGGGATGTTTTGCATTCCTTGGCTGCCACTCCGATATTATTCTTGACCATCTCCCGTCATCCCTTCTAAGTGACGTGTCCTGTCAAAGCACGCTCACTTTTCTTTATAAGTTGGATTATATAATTAACCTGCATATGCTCTCTAATCCGCGTATTCCTCTTTCTGTTTCTCAATGTAATTCGAAGTGTGCATCTCTTGTTGATTTATTGCACACTTAAAAAATGTTGTACTATATTTTTCATGGTGTTTCTGAACCATATGTGATAGCCGGCACTAATGCGCACCAATTGAAAACTTTCCTCTGTAGCCCACAGTGGTACGTTACTTCTCGTTATCAACATTCCAAGAGCACTTCTTCCTTACCTTCTCTCAGTAGGAGGATCAATGTCATATATACACAAAATATATATAGTTGTCACACAAAAAAGAATCGTGCAGAGCTCTTAGAGCTGCTGCATGCGTGTTGCAAGCAGGTCACTGCCAGGGCAGCGTTGTTTGTTAAACGACAGCGGCAGTGGTATGTGGAATTGTACGTGCGGCCTACAAGGACGTACTTTCAGGAGCAATGAGTCGTGACGTGTCCTGGTATTCCTGAGCACGTTAGGCAGCACAAACTGTTAAATTATCACTCCATATAGGACAAGCCTTTAGTTGCAATGCAACGTGTGAGAAAGAGCGAGAGAGAGAGTGGAAGAAAAACAATATTGTTGTATAACTCTCTTCACGGTGATTTCTCGGCAGCGGTAAATGTGAATACATTAATAATCCGACTATGAACACCGAACCAGTGAACTCAAACATGTACACCAAGCTCTCAAGGCGAATGGATATTCTGACTACACAATCCGCAAAGCCATCACCCTAACCGTGAGGAAGGAGCCATCTGAGGATTCAATCAAAACCAATACCTTGCCATACATAGCAGGGGTAACCAAAAAGCTTTCCAAAATAATGAACAAACACAAGATCCAGGTCCGATTTAACATAGTACATAAAATTCGTGATCTGATCCCATCTGTGATGGACAAGATTCCTGACATGCAATATCCCGGCATCTACAAACTAAGCTGTATCTGCGGCAGCAGTTACATTGGGGAAACTAAACAACATGTCTCGGACCGTGTTCGTGAGCATAAGGCAGATTTGAAACACGGTAGGACCAATACCTCTGCCATGGCTGATCATTATTTTAATGCGGCTGGCTCACACGAAATGTATTTCTCTAAGACGATGGTACTTTGCAAGCCTACTGGCTATCAACAAAGATTTGTTCATGAAGCCATCCATATATACAGATACAGACACAATGTCAACCGAGAGGATGGTTATAAACTCAACAATCATTGGAGAGATGTCATCAACCACTTTGGGTCATGACTTGATTTGTGTTTTCTTGTCAACCTCCACCATCAGCAGTGTGGGTGTGTGGAGTGAGGTGCAATGATTGTCTGGCGGCCCTTTGGTGTAGTTGCTTGTTTTCTACCTACATTAACATTCGCTGCCCCGCCCATGCTGCTGACACACTTGGGCTATGCCCATTTCTAAACCTTTATAAACAGTTTACCTTTAGAGGCTTACCCCCCTTTTCCTGATGACGACCGCTTGTGTTGCGATCGAAACGTCGTGGTTTTTGTTTTTTATTTTATTTTTATTACTGAAAGAACCAATAATAAGTCTACATTATAGACTGCCAGTATGCTCACTTAGGTTAAGAACCAGGCTACAGTCTACATTATAGACTGCCAGTACGCTCACCAAATTTAATAACCATTGTTACAGTCTACATTACAGACTGCCAATATGCACACCGCTTAAAAAACAAGCTACAGTCTACATTATAGACTGCCAGTACACTTATGGAGGTTAAGAACCAGGCTACAGTCAACATTATAGACTGCCAGTACACTCACTCCGATTAAGAACCAGGCTACAGTCTACATTATAGATTGCCAGTACACTCACTCCGATTAAGAATCAGGCTACAGTCTACATTAGTGTTTTTGTTTCTTATTTTTTTTCACTTTATTTTGTATTATTATATCTACGTGACTTCACCGAAAAAAACAAAGAATAGAAATGTACCTGCATGAAACCTAATCGTGTGTTGCCTTTTGTTTGTTTTATTTTCAGATATCAACGATTGCAGTTCTCACCCCTGGTACGTGATTTGTTTAGTGCGTCAATTTGTCATGCAATCCGGGGTTAAACGTTTTAAAAACAAAGAAAATGAGCGCCTAAACGACGCTCCGCTGTTTATTGTTTGTGACATATACAGTGAGGGAAAATAGTATTTGATCCCCTGCTGATTTTATACGTTTGCCCACTGACAAAGAAATGATCAGTCTATAATTTTAATGGTAGGTTTATTTGAACAGTGAGAGGCAGAATAACAGCAAGAAAATCCAGAAAAACGCATGTAAAAAATGTTATAAATTGATTTGCATTTTAATGAGGGAAATAAGTATTTGACCCCCTCTCAATCAGAAAGATTTCTGGTTCCCAGGTGTCTTTTATACAGGTAACGAGCTGAGATTAAGAGCACACTCTTAAAGGGAGTGCTCCTAATCTCAGCTTGTTACCTGAATAAAAGACACCTGTCCACAGAAGCAATCAATCAATCATTCAGATTCCAAACTTTCCACCATGGCCAAGACCAAAGAGCTCTCCAAGGATGTCAGGGACAAGATTGTAGACCTACACAAGGCTGTAATGGGCTACAAGACCATTGCCAAGCAGCTTGGTGAGAAGGTGACAACAGTTGGTGCGATTATTCGCAAATGGAAGAAACACAAAAGAACTGTCAATATCCCTCGGCCTAGGGCTCCATGCAAGATCTCACCTCGTGGAGTTGCAATGATCATGAGAATGGTGAGGAATCAGCCCAGAACTACACGGGAGGATCTTGACAATGATCTCAAGGCAGCTGGGACCATAGTCACCAAGAAAACAATTGGTAACACACTACACAGTGAAGGACTGAAATCCTGCAGCGCCCACAAGGTCCCCCTGCTCAAGAAAGCACACATACATGCCCGTCTGAAGTTTGCCAATGAACATCTGAATGATTCAGAGGACAACTGGGTGAAAGTGTTGTGGTCAGATGAGACCAAAATGGAGCTCTTTGGCATCAACTCAACTCGCCGTGTTTGGAGGAGGAGAAATGCTGCCTATGACCCCAAGAACACCATCCCCACCGTCAAACATGGAGGTGGAAACATTATGCTTTGGGGGTGTTTTTCTGCTGAGGGGACAGGACAACTTCACCACATCAAAGGGACGATGGACGGAGCCATGTACCGTCAAATCTTGGGTGAGAACCTCCTTCCCTCAGCCAGGGCATTGGAAATGGGTCGTGGATGGGTATTCCAGCATGACAATTACCCAAAACACACGGCCAAGGCAACAAAGGAGTGGCTCAAGAAGAAGCACATTAAGGTCCTGGAGTGGCCTAGCCAGTCTCCAGACCTTAATCCCATAGAAAATCTGTGGAGGGAGCTGAAGGTTCGAGTTGCCAAACGTCAGCCTCGAAACCTTAATGACTTGGAGAAGATCTGCAAAGAGGAGTGGGACAAAATCCCTCCTGAGATGTGTGCAAACCTGGTGGCCAACTACAAGAAACGTCTGACCTCTGTGATTGCCAACAAGGGTTTTGCCACCAAGTACTAAGTCATGTTTGCAGAGGGGTCAAATACTTATTTCCCTCATTAAAATGCAAATCAATTTATAACATTTTTGACATGCGTTTTTCTGGATTTTTGTTGTTGTTATTCTGTCTCTCACTGTTCAAATATACCTACCATTAAAATTATAGACTGATCATTTCTTTGTCAGTGGGCAAACGTACAAAATCAGCAGGGGATCAAATACTTTTTTCCCTCACTGTAAGAGGAATGTGTGGTGGGATTGCTTCCACAATTCATACATTCTAAAACATAATTATCTGTTTAAAACTAATACGATACTTTGTTTCGTATGTATTTTTAAAAGTACGACTGCATTGTGGAACATAACAGCGTACTCTATGTGTAAATAAGCAACCGTTTTTGAAAGCGATTTCTTAGTTCTTAGTTCCATTTATTTGGTATAGCCCTATGAGCCATTCGGCTCTTGAATTGGGTGCAACAGCAACAAACAAAAACATGAACAAGAAAACATCTTAAAGTGATTATGTGACTGTGCAAACAGAAAATCCAGGAAAAAACATCAAAATATTTAAAATCTACTCAGACAAAGGGTTCTTTGACGAGAGGCAACTGAAGTAAAGTTTAATTCCTAGCCGAATACACCATGGGCAATTAACGTCTGAACTTGGCCTGATCCTCCCCGAGGTCACCTCAACCAAAAATGTATACCTGGTAATGAAGAAATGTGTCAACGTCAGTAATGAGGAGACAGAGCGAGCAGAGTGTGGTGCTGGCCACACCACACCCCCGTGTGCACCATGCCAGCCTTAAGAGGTGCTCGCTAACAACACTTACCCTCATAGTTTCGTCAAGCTTAAAGGGGGATGGATCTTTGTTTGTTTTGTTCGTACGGACCGCATGTATACTTTAGGGCATCTTGTGTTATTTTTTTTTAGTGCGTCTTGTATACGTTAACACAACTTGTGCGCTTGTTGTTTTTATCAGCTACAATGGCGGGACGTGCGTCGATGGGACAAACTGGTACCGCTGTGAGTGCGCAGCTGGATTCGCTGGACCTGACTGCAGAATAAGTGAGTTGCACTGCTTGAACGCAAACCCCCCTGTCAATACGGTACACTTCCTCTTTTCTTTATTTAAGAGCCTGCTTGGGCAGGGCCCATTGATCGTGGGGATGGTGACCGATAGCCAAGAAACCTTCGAAACTGGCCAGTGGTCGAGAGGCCATCCATTCGTGAGAGACAGCGACAAGCTTTTGGAGGCCTTAATCCAGCAGTGGATAGATAATTTCTGACAGAAAGGCAGCCAAGGGAAGAAGCCATCTGAGAGCATGGCCATCACGGAGATGGAGCAATAACATCAGCTCATCTTCAGGATCGAGACAGAATGTGGCATCGCTGGACCGTGAATTTGTAGCTACGTCGTGGGAAGACCTTCACCCAGCAGTGGACTGATAAAAAGGCTATAGATGGTTATATTTTGTTATTCTGTTTGTGATGTGATGAAAGTCAGAATGGATGGCAATTGTGCTTGATCGTGTGAACACGATACCTGGCAATGTGTTGATCAACACTGCCGCCTTGCAAAAAAGTATCGGCGGCGCATCCGTGTAACATGCACAACAATTGTCTCAAGTGCGTTACTTTGGGCTGTGCTCTGGTTATAAATACGCATGCAATTATGCCCGATCATGAATACGACATTGGCCACAGTGCATTGATCAACACGGTCAGTCACGCTGTTGGCACTCCTGGCGAGCGAGGGAGCCAGGTGCCCGCGATTGTGTTGCACCCTGGGAGCGTTCAAGACGAGAGACGTCGCGTCAATCATTAATCCTGAAGAAGTAAACCTGAGCAAAGAATGAGATTAATTATTGCAGCGTTTAAAAGTCAAAATACTGCAAACTGCAGGGTTTTTTCACTTTTTTACCACTGTACATTTTCAATTCTTAACGTGGTTTTCATCAAAAATATTTTCTTTGGGTTCTTTATCCTCTTCAGAATGGTTTAAATTCCAATAACTTTACCAAGAACCCAGGTAGTATTTTGTCCAAGACGTTGACCTCCCCTATCCCCAGCCAATGCTTCTGCTGATGGTTATTTAAACTGCCAGTGTTGTGACCACTGGCGGGAGGTGATGGCTGAGTAGCGCATTTCCAGTCGGTACGCAGAGCCTGATGCAACCAGTTTCTAAGTACTCCAGTGGCAGACTGGTATATCAGGTTTCTTGCAACTGGCTCGCGACTCTTTTTGGTGGTGGACGTTAAATAAAACAAGAACTGTACGTGCAAGTATAACACCTGCATGACTCTTGTGTCTGCTGCAGTAGAGTACAAGATTTTAATCATCTCAATACATTTTTAAACGGATGACATCCATTGCACTGCGGTGTACAGATGTTTCAACAGACACGGCGTGAGCTGGGGATGATGGCGGTGGTCGAGACTCATGATGTATTACTAGCCAAGGGAGGGAACACACCTGAAAAGGCATCCATCGTGCAGGAGCTTGATGGATTGAGACTGTGGGAAATTGCGATACTTTGAGGAGGCCTTCACCCAGCCGTGGATAGATCATGGCTCATGATGATGACGATGACAATTTCCTAATGCATACGCCTGTGCCGTTGTTTTCCACAGACATCAATGAGTGCCAGTCCATGCCGTGTGCAAAGGACGCCACGTGCATCGATGAGATTAACGGCTACCGGTGCATGTGTCCCCTCGGCCGTGCGGGACGACACTGCCATGACGGTGAGGAGGACCTCGCTTGGATTCACAACCATGGTCTTCGTTTTCTAGCCAGGAAAGCCTCCCTGATTTTCAGAAAGCAACATCAACGACAGTGCAACTTGCTTGCCGTTTGATACATCCGCCATGGTGGCATTACAAGAGAGCGCATTGCCAGAAGTGAATTTAATGTATTTTTCTTCTCGTTAACAAAACTTGGAAACTCCTGGCTGTCCTCATGACTAGGGTTGCCACCTACTGTGGTACAAAATAACCCAGGTATACAACACAGGACATATCATGGGAACACGAGTATGTCACAATGCTGGAAGAGGAGAGAACTGTATTTAAATGCATCGTCTTAGGTGGTGCGTTATTTACCAGGATAGCTGCCTCAAATAATGAGGACGTCCTGAGAAAACCGGAACAGGGTGGCGACCCCACTCGTGACCACCATTATGCAGATTTCAGTAATTACACCAATCATCAGGTGCATGCGGTGTGCAGTTATTTAATCAGCATACACATATGTTGGTAATCACAAAAAGACTGACCGTGGTGGGCTCACGCGGACTGCTGTAACAAAAAATGGCCTAGGCGCATAGGTCTGCGAATAAGAGACATTCTATTTTGTTGGTTTAGGATCATCTCCCTGTGCACCGAGAGCCTGGGGTGGTGACATGGCCCAGCGGCAGGACGTTTTCCGCTTGTTGCAGCGATTCGCGGTTGTAATCCAGCAGGGTCACCCTGGTTATTACTACGGTGTGTCCTAACGGCAGAATACATGCCGTATGATTCGAAGTGGATGGTTAAAGATCCCGGTGACATCAATCACAAAGTAGGCCATTGCCTACCGCCCTCATCCAAATTTGGCAAATTTGAAAAATTCCACCGCAAATTACGCAGTTGCGATTGCACATAACAAGATCTCACGCCTACTGTGACACTGCTGCACATTATGTCCGTGAAAATAGCACCTTTGTGATAGCCTTTGCATGATAAGAATAGCTTGAATACCAAAAGAACAAAACTATTCTTGTTATTATTAATCTAGATTTGAAGTTTTCGTGACTGCAGGGACCCATATTCTTTGGTTCTTTCGGTAAAGTCACGTAGGTATGAAATAAAATAAATTAAAAATTATTATTAAGTGTGTTAATCGCTGTGTCGCCCTGCGTGTGTTGCCATTACAGTTGTACAGCCAACGCAACCATGTGTGGCCAGCGGCAGGAATCACTCCCATGGGTCCAGCTGGAAGGAGGAATGCAACATGTGCCACTGCTCCAATGGGAACATCAATTGCACAAAGGTGCGTATTAGTCCAGGCCTTCTTCTCTGAGAGCACTCACGTCACCTCTGTATTGCAGTGTCTCTGGTTAGTTGATGGGCCAGAGGAGAAACCGGTACCACCTAAAGTAAATCTAGATTGAAAACAAATTTCTTTAGAACTGCATTTTGTGTTCAGTTTGTTGTCCTTCCCCGCAACTCCAATTAGCATGGTTGGCTATGTACGTTGCGAAAGAAGTTCAACATATATAAAGTATATAAATCTAGAATATATAAAGTGGCAGAGTTATAATCATCCTGATGTATTTGATAACTACACTCATTTCAAATGGTCATCGCATTATTCACTGTCAGTGGCCATGCAGAAAAATGGGAAATACTAAAGTGGTACTGACAAATATTATTGTTTTTTTCGGTAAAGTCACGTAGAAAAAAAATATTTAAAAAAAATGAAAATAACAAAAGCAAAAAACCACAATAAAAAATATAGTCAAATAAAACAAAAAACCCACAACGTTTCGATCGCAACACAAGCAGTCTTCATCAGGCGGAGAGATAAGTGAAATATCTGGTCTGCGCTCATAGACTAAGTGTGGATCACCTGGGCATCGTCCCTTCCGGCAGTGTATATACATTTTTCATCCTTTACAAAAACGTGTGTTTATTTATCAAAGTGACTATGTCGGTTATTGTCATGGTGATGATAGCCAACGTTAATAATTGTGCATGTAATCACTTATTTCATTTCGTATACACTGGCATATGTCTAGCGCAGTGGTCGGCAACCTGCGGCTCCGGAGCCGCATGCGGCTCTTTTAGGGCTACTTCGTCACGTTTATTTATCAAGGTCCACCGTCTCGTATTCACGTGCATTGTGGCTCTTGAAATATTGAGTATTTTTTTACTGAATTTGCAAAAAATGCCTCCTCTGACCTCGTCGGTTGGGAACCCTGGAAACTTCACATTCACACTTGGAACAATTGGCAGCCAGGCTCACCAGCCGGCTTCGTGGTTCCACTTTGAGCGACGACGGGAGCTTCATGGCACCCGCACTAATGCGCTGATGATGTCCGTCCATTGGGTAATAATTACATTGATGCTCCCTGCGCGGTAACCTGCAGGTGTGGTGCGGAAACAAGCTCTGCCTGCTGAGCCCTGCTGCGGCGTCCGCGGAGAGGGACGGGTGCCCCGCAGGGCTGTCGTGCCACGCGATGCGTCACGAGTCCTGCCTCGCGGGATCCTGCTTCCGCCAAGGGGAATGCCTGCCCCAGACTTCCCCTCCGGCCTCCCTGTGCCAGCAGCAAGAGGATGGAGCAAGCGGGGGCTGTGCTCACTTGAGACTCACCTTCGACAGGAGCCTCTTGGCCCCTGTGAGTATTCTGTCAGATAATTGCAGGCTTTTATTATTCATATTGCATAATCTTGGCCATTGAGAGCAAATATGGCTCTTGTAGCTGACCAGCCTAAACATTTGCCTTTTATCCTCTCCATGCTGCTTGTTGCTGCTCTGATGTGTTTTTCGCTTTTACCACGTGGAGGGAAATATCAGGCATCACGCCAAACAATTTGCAGCACAACTCAAAAACACATCAGAGAGCTGTCCAGCACAACGAGGACAGCCTACGCCATGTTAGTCGTGCTCTGTGTGTTCCCTATGCTCTGTGTTTATAAATATATATGCGTATGTTCTACTGTATGCTGTGCTGTCACGTAAAGCTGGTTTGGCAGCCCTGGAAAAGTGCCCAATTTCCATGCAGCAGAAGGCCATAAGTTCAAACCTCGGAAGAGGGTCGACTCAGTCTATCATAACTCCAGGCTTGATAAATCGAGTACCACCTTTGGGTAGACAGTAGTTGTTGCCTTATGAAGAGAATGCAAAAATCAATAGAGCTATTCAATCAATAGAGCTATTCAACCATGAACCTCTACAACAAGCGGCAAGCACGCGACCGCTGGGCCGCGTCACCGCCCCCATGTGGATATGTAGGAACTCTGCACCGATTGGGCTGCGAGGTGGTGAGTCCACTGCAGAACAAGGAAAATTGGGTCGTGTACATATTTGGGAAAAATTAGAAGAGCTATGGAAACGCCATAGCCTTTCGAGAGAAGAGCCAGAGGAGACAGCATGCACACAGCCGATCCCATGCATAAAATGGGACTTGGATTAAAAAGGAAGTATCACAAATCTTGTCCATTGTCTGCTTCCAGAGCACCACGGTGGAACACATTTGCAGAGAACTGCGCTACTTGGAAGCCATCCACAACCTGTCCAGCAGCTTCCCCATCTACATCTTGTGTGAGATGATCGACAAGGAGCCGGACAAGATCAGAGTTGCCATCGTAAGTCAAATCCACGTTGTAGAACCGCGATACAATACCGGGCATGACCCCATCCACCGCTGGCAGACAGCCTCCCCCAAATAAAGCTTGATTTGCTAAAGTGTAAGCTATGTAGGAAGGATAGACTATTGCACAATTGTATTAATGGTTAATAGGGTTGGCTATATTAAGTATTTAGTAAACTCTGTCTGTATTATCTACCCTTGATAATTGAAGATCCATAACGCTTATTTTATATATATATATACATTATAATTACAGAAGCAAATTCATTTGTTTTCATTGTAAAAGTTAGCTAATGGAGAAAATTACAATATAGTAATAAAGGAGCAGTTGGGCTTGAGCAGGACACATTTCTAGAAGGGACCATGGCTGAAGGTATACAATACCTGCTAAAATAAAAATAGCTTTTTTAGTCTATGTTGATGGAACTGCAGCCAAGGAATGGAACACACCAGAGAGGACGTGCGATGAGGAGATGGAGCGATTAACTTAGCTCATGTGCAGGTTTATAGGCGGATTGTTCCATCGTTGGTCATTGGAGATGGAAGTAGCTTGCCAAGGCCTTGATCCAGCAGTGGATTGACCACGGCTAACAATGATATAGATGTATACTCTTTGGTTCTTTCGGTAAAGTCACGTAGGTTGAAAAAGAAAAAAATATAAAAAATTATATAAGATAAAAATAAAAGTGATATATTAGTTTTTATTTTATTTTATTTTTCTACCTACGTGACTTTACCGAAAGAACCGAAGAGTATCGATTCCTGCAGTCACGAAAGCTTCAAATCAAGATTGATATAGATGTATTTTATATTCCGATGGAATGTTTACATTAACAATTAATAGTAGCATTATGAAAGAATATTTGGCAGCCGTTGGAAAAAAATAGCTAATTTACTTTCATGAAGGCAATTGCTTAATGTCTACTGACCATACATGTACTTTTCATTCCGTAAAACCCTGAAATATTTAAAATAATGTCTTAATGTCTTAAATTGTTATCGCCAAGTCTCTAAAACTTTACATTTTTAAGGCATTTCAAAACGAGCCTCACCTTCTGGGTCTGCACCACTTGATGATGCCAAGCCAACAGTGGTGTTTTTTTATGGATAGACTGGCCCCCGCCATAGGAATTTGGAATTTACAGCACTCGCTCAGGACCACCACCCGAGTTGAGCACTGCCAATATTTTGAGTCCAAATTGAAAACCAAAATAAAACTGCTCTAAGTTTTGTTTTAAATCAATGAACCGTTTGTGTTACGTGAAACAATTAATGAGCCTTCCATTCGCATTAAAGGGGAACTATTTTAGTCCATAGCCCAATAGGCCTTCCAAACTTGTGGCATTTTCACAAGAAAAATATTGCATTACTTTCTACATTATGAGTCCGGCTCGTTAAAAAAAAAGCTGTCGTGTTGCCAGATGTTATTTGCAAGAGAACTCCACGCTAGCCATGGGATCTTGTTCATCACAACAAGCAGCAATGTAATAAAAAAAGGATTGCACGCTGTGGTGAAGCATGATGGGGGGGGGGGGTTAATGAAATAACTAGAGACTAATTTTTCTGTCCGCATAAAAATGTAACATTTGAATTAGGCCATCTGTACGTGGGTCATTACAAGTGTAATGTTACACAACTTTCCAAATGGATTTTCTTCACGTTCTGGGGAGTTTTTACAGAACTGAACCAAATAATCTCTCAGCCATGTGGAGTGAAACGTCGGGCATCATTCTGAACAAGACGTAGTGCAGCCCATGAAACCCATTGGAGAGCTTTATAAAATAACCGTGAAAAAAACCTACACAGCTGTAGGTGATATAGATTTTAAAAATTCAAACATCTTCTCCGTGCGATCGTTGTTTTTTTCTAGTCTTCCGACCGACAGTCGGGGCCACAGGGAGCACAGCTGGTGCAAGAGGTGGCGGCGCGGATTGCAGACGCCATCAAGCAGCGCAGATCCGGAAGCAGCCGCCACTTGGCAGCTGTCACCAATGCGGACTTCACGCATTCCACTGCAGGTTCGTCAATCCCCTCTCTTCAGTTTGCCCATCTTCCCCTTATCCTCACGAACTGGGCGCTGGACTCATGAGGACTCTGATAAACTCCCCAGGAGGTGTCATAACTAAACTTTTTTTTATTTAGTAGCTAATGCCCACTGAGCTATATAGCTCTTTTTCAGAAGCGACCTGGCCACAAATGATTGCGCAACGAAGTGGCTTATCACGTGGAAATTTATATCAACCAAATACTCGAAACGCATGTTTCTAAATGTGGAGGGAAAATACCGGAGGACCTGGAGAAAAATCCACACCACCACCGAGGGAGAGACGAGTAAACTCCAAGTATACAAGCGTCACTCAAAATAAACACTGGTGAATCCGAGGCCACTGGATGCCTCAAGGAAATATTTCTGTGTTTTAGTATTTTGGACCAAAACTTGTTTGTGGTGTCCCTATGCAATCACTACATATATGCATTAGAATCCCAAAACTTAATTCCCTCACTCACGACCTGTCCACCTTTCCTTATTGGGCAACTATCTTCCATTCGAACACATGACGTTCTTACGCATATTTTACCCACCTGATGATTGCTGAATGCGTCCCAATAGGGCAGAGCTGTCCCAATAGGGCAGAGCGTGCTAATTCAAATTAAGATACAGATCTTGTTTGTGTGTGTGCATGTTTGTCCCGCGTCGTGGAGAGACGGCTCTAAATTTGAATCGGCACTCTCCCTCGTTTCCTCGTTCGCTTTTGTGCAGCACCATCCCTCGGGTGTGTGCAGCATGTATGTATGTTGAACTTCTTTTGCAACATGCAATGACTTAATGTGAAGGAGAAGATTATTCAGTGTAAAAAGATGGACCAGAATTTGGGACACTCCATCATGCCCTGCACAGCGGAAGGGTGCAGTAGCGCCTTTAAATATATAAATTACAACTCTCCACTTATTACAGGTTACGTTATCTGATGTCACCAAAAAGCACTTCATGATTTTCAAGCTGCATTGCAATAGCATGTTTCTTTGACCATGGGCACAGTCTGGACCGTTTTTATGCACTCGTGCAAAATAATAGTAAAAAATAAATTGGCCACAGATTTCAACACAAGACCCTCCTGGAAAAAAGGTCTCATGACTCATTGAACCATCGCTGTATGATATATAAAGGTGTGATATTAATTACACACGTTAGTCATCGCCGCCTATACTTGACTAACAAAATATTTGGATCCGAGTCGTGATGCATTGTAATCCGGTTATTAAGCTTGTGTCACGTTTCATGTCGATAGCACATGAGTGATAACATTGTGAAATTTACTAGTAAGTGTACATGACAATGATGACCACAATGATGATGATGATGAAATGCCTGTTCTCTTGTTAGCCGGCAGCAATAAGAGTTGTGTTCCTCTTGTAAACAAAGATTGCAGTTTTACTCATCAGAGCGGGCGTGCCGTGTTTCTCAACTCGCTGCGTAATGTTCACCTCGATATTAATATGCTATCAGGCATTTACACGGCGCTGTTACTGTTGATGAAACTAGCGATAAAAATATTTGTCAACGGAGAGATTTTTATACTTAATAGTCAACAATGAATGTCAGTGGACGAAAGTCATCGAGCGTGACCGTAACTCTGACTGCTGCGTACCAAACGCCAAATTGTGACCGACTATGAAGAGATGAAAATCCACTGGTCTGAATTAAGATGTCAACTAAGATCGGTCATCATGTCGTTAGAGACAGCAGTGCTCTTGAGGAAGACCAAAATTTGCCATTGGCTATAAATGTATATTGGCTCACCCGATAACAATTATAATTGGCTGACCTGATTATATTTGGGGCAATTTGGTGCCACTTGCACTGACATTTAATAAACAAGAGTGTATAATCTTAGCTCTTTCGGTAAAGTCACGTTACTTTACCGAAAGAGCTAAGAATATGAATTACTGCAGTCACGAAAGCTTTAAATAAATAAAAACAAGAGTGTATTACTCAAATGTCTGACTGATTGAGTCGACTAAGAAAATAACCAGATAAAATCCACAGACTTGACTCAAGTTTCACAGCTAGTCGGCATCGCAAATGCTTACCAAACAAACAATGGCTCTCCCGCCCGCCCCTCTGCCAGCAGATAATATGGTGTTAATCGTGAGCAGCGCGCTGGGCTTCCTGCTGCTGCTGGCCACGCTGCTCCTCTGCCTGTGCTGCATGCGGAGAAGACGAAACCGCCGGTCACCTCACCTCGATAAGGTGGACGACAAGGACAAGGTCACGGAGCCGCTCAACAAGGTCATTATCCACAACCCAATCAGTGGCGGTGGTGGCGGCGGCGGCAGTCAGAACAACAAGCAGCTCGAGCAAAATTTGTGCCGTGTGGGCAAAATGCGGACACACAACATCGAGCTGGAGGAAATCGACAAGCTGGGATTTAGCAGCAATAAAGCGACGCTGGGCTATGGCGCCGGATCGTTGGCCACACCCGAGGAGCAACCGCTGAGGTCCAAGTTGAATGTGAACAGACCTGCGTACACATGGACGACACAGGTGGAAGTATAGTCCTATACTGCACTGGCGAAACAGACTTTGGTGTCGTGAGCAGCAGCAGCAACAGCAGCAGCAGTTACACGGACATTGATAACTGGACAAAAATGCGTGCTGTGCCTTTTTTTTTACGGAATTACGGACAGTCAAGGGCTGTCGCTTCTGCTCTTTATTCACTTTTTATGTGAACTTTGCAGGTTATTCATTGTCAATGTCAACGTAGTTGTTGTACCATGCACGTGCCCCATCGAGCATGTGCCCTGCAACGTCTACAGAAAAACTCAAGCAAGTGAACAACTGTCGTGAGCGTAGTGGAGTGGATTTAGACCGTGGAAGAGAAATAAAAAAAAAATAAGAGGAAAGGTTGTGCTTGATGTTGCGCAGTCGATGTTACCATTTTTGTGCTCCTTGGCAGCTTCTGAGAATGCCTTTTTTGAAAGAAGTACACACACACACACCACGCACGCGTGCTGCTTGCTATGCAATCAAGTGGGAGATAAAAAAAATATTGGAGAGAAAAAATCACAAAAAAATATACAAAATGTTAAAGTGAAAAAAAAGAGGACAGAATGCCCAGAAAACACTGAAGTCTTGCAGAAGACAAGAAGGATGCTTACTCCATGTTTACATGATGGGCAGGATGTATTTTTTCAATCTAGCAAAGCTGAATATATACACCATAGCTAGGCTACTGAACTAAGATATAATACAGAGACTATCCGTCTCACACTGCACTGGTTATTATTATATTGTTACGTTAGGATGTTTGAACTGTTAACCTTGGTAACTTATTTTTTGTGCTTTTTTAAATAAATATATAATGAATAAAATTACACACATGTCTATATATATCTCTCAATGTACGCATATGCATATGGGTTATGAATGATATGACTCGACTTGCGGCATAGGCTTAGAGTGAGTCACAGTCCGTTTGCCAATTGAGGCCCCTTTATCATCATTTTTTTCTGCTCAGCATTTTTCTTCATGGGACATTGACATCGAAGTTACATTTTGTAGGAAGCCTCAAAGCTCCGACTGGGTAGTCAGGAAGTGCCTTTTAGGTGACCTTTTTGCTGTGTCTGTTGTGGGTTGTATGCGTTGATTGACGATAGACTGGAAAACCCTACCTGGAAAAGGTGTGCGCAAAGCGCAGACAGGCGTTGGTGTTGTTGTATCATAACATAATCAAAATCACGATGGCTCGATGTAAATACTCGATGTATATTTTAGATCGCTGTATATTGATAACTAAATGTTAATCTTGAAACCTGCATTCCTTTTATTTATTTATATGTCACATAATTGGATGTATTGGGAAATCTTTACTATATTGTTGTGTATTATTGGAATAATATTTTTTTTTTGGGGGGGGGGAGGTGGAGACAAGGGTTGGGGGGCTTTTAATTGGCTGTTGTGTTTAATGTAGAGCATGGAATGTTATTAATAACTGTAGTCTGAAAACAAGGGTCTTCATGCTGTCTTCTCTGTGCCTTCATGCCCTGTGCCTCGCATGACCTAGCACATCTTCTCGCTTTTCGCTTGCAAAGTAACTATCACTTACGAGACTCGATGGCATTCGGGGAAAAACATCCGCACCGACTCTTCAGCTGACTATTACAGTATAAGAATTGAGTGGCATCGAAAGTCGTCGTATTTTTTATCTTGGAATTAATCAGAGTTTGTCAAGAGTTATTGGGCAGGATTAGGGCAGAATGTATTTTTTGATATCTTGAGAGCAAAGTGATATCAAATTCTCTCATATCATGAATTCGGTCCGTGTAATTGATGCAACAACAACAAAGAGTGTAGATTGTGTCCGCAAGTTATAGCATTAAGAATTTGCAGCATTTGAGCAAACTGTCTTGGTGTTCCGATTCATGATATTAACAAGCTATGTCAAATACACTTAACAAACTAGTATATGGTAAATGCTGTATTAGCCCGCCATCCACACTTTAGACCGCTCTGCTTCTTAGCAAACTACTGCACTTAACTTCCTTTGCATTGTATACAGTAACTTCATGCAATGTAATGCTACTATAAATAAATTAATCGACAAAGGATGGTGAATTTTAAATTATTCTGGCATTTAAAAAAAATATTAATATTAAAGGTGTTTAGTGTTTTTTATATTACCGTATTATTATTGAATCGAAAATGCGTGTGGAAAATGGCGACGTTATGTCATTGTTGATACATCGGCTGGGATTAATTAACCCTTTTTGTAAAATGTTATTTACTATTATTATTACTATCCATAGGGTTTCTGTTCAATAAAATAAGAGGCTATAAACATTGGCCAAAATCACCAATATACAGTTAACAGAGACATCGGCATAGATTCATTCTTGTGCCTCATATATATTGATTCTAGGTCTGGTGATGTGTATTGCTATTGCATCTTGTATTCAAAAGCAAGTCCTGTTGCAGAGATGTAATAATAATTATAATACCAGGTAGAGCCTCACTGAGTCTCAAGACTCACCTTCAGGAGGGTCTTCCATTGGGTAGTTTGACCAGTTCCATTAATTATTGTTTCGCATTTAAGAGGACACCAGGCTATAACCAGAGTAAACCCATGCATACGAGTGAATAGCATTCAAAGCTCCACACAGATTCATTCGACAGACAAACCCAACTCATTGAATCTCCATTCCTGCCCATACCGATATCACTTTGTGTGATATCATGATGGTGACCCATTCAAGAAATAGCCAGGCTTGGTCCTTCCATAAATATAAGGCTGCAAAATGTCCATATTCTTTCAATTTCTGTCACCTGCTATCATCACGAAGGAATGCTCACCATTCTCCACTGAATGCCTGAATTGGATGCAGACGTCAACTCGCAGAAACACTCACCTAGCATTATTCTGGTTCATATCGTTTTCCAATTAACGTGACATGTAGACATGTGTACCAAATATGTTTGTTAATCGCCTTTTTATACGTAATCACTACATGCTTTCATCCACTTATGAGATCCCACGTGCATGACGTTGAGCAGATAGTGGTGTGTTTTGTCCATATTTATTTTTTTCCTGCATGGAATTCAATGGATTGAAAATTAAGGAGAAGAGCAAGACCTGTGATGCATTGTTTTAAAGTGGCTGTATCGTTTGAAGCAGGGCCCCAACAGCATTCGGGAAAACACAGTGCCCAATGATCTCTATGCAAAAAAGCACGGCAAACCGTTCAATTAGCCCACAGAGAAACGTCCAATGTGAGTTCCAAGTTTTGTTTCATTTTAATGGAACTGGTGCAGAAATGCCAATGATCATTGCGATTAACCACTAACAACGATGATGTATCGCTCCCTATCGGCTACACCTGTAAAGTGGTATTTTAAAAGTTCGGAAATCGGATCGATATTTATGGATCTGGAATGTTGCAAAATGTCATGTTTAAATGGGTGCAGGAGATGTGAAATTCTGTTGAGCTTCTCCATGTAACATAGGAGTGGCTACTTGGCATATTTTTTTAGCTTCCAATAATGATTGAGTTTCATCGTGGAAACTATAAATAACAAAATGATTAAGCAGATTTTGCTCCTCATATCTGTCTCCTGACGTATTTTTGTTTTACATGACATCAGCCACATGGCTGATTTGGGAGTGCATAATTAAATTAGTATTGGATTAATACAAGCAAAACTCTGGACCAGTTATGACGTTTCACTGTCTCCTCAGCAGTCAGACTTGCTTCGACCAATGCTGAATAACCTGAACTGCGCATTTTTATAAGACAATGACCGTTTTTGCTAAAAATGGGTCCCGGTTTGATGCAGAATTCTTATAATACACAGCACAAAATAATCATTGAGGTTATTGATCATTTGGCGTTGTGACGTGCTCATAGCATCGTGTGCATCTGGAGGAAAAGCACTGATGTATAAAACTTAGCCAATTTTTTTTAAAGGTGAAAACACGAGGGTTGAACTGCATTAGTGGGACCGTCTGGTTCATCTCATGAACTCCGCGGAAAACGTATTCTCGTAAAGCTGTTGTCAGTCCACGGACTTCTGCTAGATAAGGTAGATGGAGCATAGATTATTCTCGATCACTTGTGTTGTTGACATGCAGAGATTTCCCCCCCCCCACCCCCTCCGCGTGTATATTGAGACTGATGTGTTATTTTTTTATGGTATATCGCATCTTACGTCACTTAGGAATGATTCCAACATTGAGCATCATTAAAGTATTTTGTATCCAACGAACTGAGAATTCTCTTGTTTTGCTTTGAGCTTTTTGTTGACAATTGTCGATTAAGTTTTCTGTGTGTTGGAATAATGATAATACGTATAATTTACAGACATGTGAAGGTCCACTGTTGGATTAAGGACTCCCAATGCTATGCACTAAACTAAAACTTTTTATTTTACCAGGTAAAAAAGAGCTATGTAGCTCACTGAGCTACATAACTCTTCTTTGGACGTGACCTGGCCACAAATGATAGCTCAACAAAGTGGCTTAACACGTGGAAATTTATCACAGCCAAATAGTCTAAACGTATGTTTCTAAATGTGGAAGGAAAAAACCTGACCTGGATAAAAATCCAAGCGAACACATGTAAGCTCCAAATGTACAGGCGTCAGGGTTGGAATCAAGCCCACGACCTCCTGCATACCAGACGAGGGAATTAACATCTCGCCTCTGCGAGGTCACATGGGTCATAGTGCAGTGTGCTAACCACTGCCCCCACCACTCCCCCCTTTCCATGTAATATCAATAATTGTAAGAAATGCATAAGAGGTTCATGAAAATAACTGTGGGTGTTTTACATTACTCAGAGGAAAGATATACACATTGCAATGGATGGGCCTTTGTTTTCAATGATATTGCAGTTTCGGCATCTTCCAGCATTTGCTTGACCAAGATATGTAAATTATGAATTGAAGTTTATCGCGAGGTCATTCAAGAATGTCGACTGGAAGACATGGGAGGGATCGGGTTCACGGGAGAGGGTGGTGGGTGTTGCCACATTGGAGATTTCAGCCGAGCACAGGCAGTCTGCAACCTCCGGCTTCGGAGCTGCATGCGGCTCTTTAAGGACTGCTTCGTGGCGTAATGTACTTACGGTATTTCAAATCAAGTTTACTTACGGTATGTATTCACATTGCATTGCGGCTCTTGAAATATTGAGTTTTGTACCGAATTTCGAAGAAAATGGCCCTTGTGATGTTGCTTGCCGACCCCTGTGGGCGAATTGTCACACGAATTGGAAAGACATTCAAGGAAGTGGTCAGATATGGTCAGATATCACTCGCCGCTGATGTTAGTCGTCGCACAGCGCTCTCACTATTGCACCACATTTCATAATAAAAGTTTTTTGGGTAGATCGCGTTATTTATAAATGTGTCATAACCCTCCACCACCCGACACGGCCACACTTCTTGGCCCCGTGCCTTAATGTGCCCTGAACACAATTCAAAAGTTAATCAATTTGAATAAATAATTGCTTTTGTGTTTACGTTAATTTATTGTACGAACGGGCGATTTTGAACAATGCATGTGTAGTGATGTTAACTGGATCACGACGGCGCGTAGCGCCATGTGCCGTAGAAATGGGTGCTGAGGCGGCCACACCATGCAGTACCATTCAGTGGACCACTAGGGGCATGGTACTGGGTGTTAGCAGAAGAGAGCCAGATGAGTCCTACTGACAGAGTAGGGGATATCAGCCTCCGCCAGCGCCGCAGGTAATTGCCACAGGGTCGGTCACTAGGGGAGTGCGGTGAAGGCGGCTGGCAGTAGGGGGGCATGTGAGGACGAGTCACCCCGGCACCGGGTTCAGCACGTGATGGGCCGGGGTGAGGAATGTGGGCCAAAGGTGAACGAGGGGACACGGGAAGAGTAGCTGAGTAACGTCTGGAGAATTCCCGAGGGGGGCGTGGTTAAGGGCGGAGCCAGAGAGGGAACAGGTGTAAGGTGGCCTAGAACCTTCAAGAATATTCCAGAGGTAGGCGTGGCCGGGGGTGGAGCCAGGCCGCGCTGAGAGGGATAAAAGGGAAGCTCCGATCGAATGTCGGGGCTGTCTGCAGGTGAAATGGAACCCAATTGCTACGTCTACATCTCCGTCTTCGACATCGTGGGTCAGACAACACGTTGGCTGCTCTGATCCGATTATAGTTATCCCGTATGCAAGAGAGATAAGTGTATTGTAATCCTGTGTGTGACGAGAGTGAGAGATAGGTGTATTACTCCCATGTGTAAGGGTGTTGCATAATCTTTGGGTCTTTTGGTAAATCCACGTAGATGGAAAAAATAATCAAAATAACAATATCACAAGGTTTCGAACGCAACACAAGCAATCGTCTTCAGGTGCATAAGTGTAGAACAGGGGTGGAAAATCTTTTTTTTCTGCCAAGGGCCATTTGGATATGTGTAACATCATTCGTGGGCCATACAAAATTATCAACAAAAATTTCCCTGTTAAGTTTGGTCAAACATTTAATTAACTCGCCCCTAATGTGATGGCTGGAACTGCTTCTCTTTGGTGAGGCGTGCGATGTTTGCTAGTATTGATGTTGCTACTCGCAACTGCTTTTCCAGGTTTGCTCCTAGATTTATTTAATTTCGAGTCCCGCCTGCGGTTGCCTTGGCAGGTCCAGACCAAATGATTTCGCAGGCCTTGTACGGCCCGCGGGCCGGACGTTCCCCTCCCCTGGTGGAGAATAAACGTTGTTGCCTCCTAAATAGTGTCTCTGAAATGACTCACTACACACGCATTCAGATGCAATGATGCACTGGTACTCATTCGGCCCTCCACTGATAACCAGAGAAACTGGTCACGCAGCTCAACCCTGATGGGGCAGCCTTGGTGTGCTGCACACACGCACCACACACACGAACGGGCGAACAATAGGATGAGATTCTTATGATACACACGAGGCTTGCCATCAGCTTGTAGTGTGTTTTTCAATGGAGCCTTGTCTTCAGAATCACTATCTAACCTTCACACAGTAAGTGGCCTTGTTTCATTAGCCAGAATAAAGTTGTAGCCAATATAAGATAAGCCAGTGTATGCTTTCAATGCTGAAGTATCAATTCGCATTGCAGCATTTGAATTCAATACCGTCAGCCACGGCGCACCCTTGATTTCTTAGCACACTCTATGGCACTCCATGCCACATTCAATGCTGCATTTATTGTCCAGCATTGTACTGTAGAATTACGTTAACTACACTTCATTTATAGGTGTCGTTGGTCGGGGGTAAATCGTCACCACGATTTACTATCGGTTTCAGTGCGTCCATTCAGATGTACATTGAAGAAATTCAACAGAAACTTGCTGAATCGCACAACCAGTGTTACTATCACAAGGCACACCCGCGTACGTGTAAAATTGTCCTCCGATTGTGCTGCTTTGCAAACAGCTGGTCAAGTGGAACAGCCCACTGTTATTCAATAAGGCACACGAGCTACGGGGCGGGGATTGCACACTGCTCCGTTGACTGGCCTCAAATCTCGAAGCTTGATATCAGAATCAAGAGTATTTATGCGATATACAGATCTTTATCACAGATGTCCAGTCGGGGCGGGTCATAACGTTACAACAACAAACAATACAAACACACGATAGGAGTGCAAAGTATAGTAAAGGTAAATATCACTAAAACAAAATACAAATAAAACGAAACTTTAATTTTAATAGGTAAGGCCCACTGAGTTATACGCCTTTTTTTTCAAAACCGTTATGACCACAAATGATCGCTCAACGAAGTGGCTTGTTATGTGGAAATGTATAGAAGCCTAATAAATTAAATATTCTAAACACGTGATGTTGATTCGAAATGTGGAGGGAAACACCGGAGGACCCAGAGAGAAAAAAAATCCACGACTTTGATATTTTGCCCAGGAAAAAGCCCTCAAGGTAAGCTAACTTGACACAAATGTCCATGCAAAAAATGTCTACTTTTGCCAGTGATGCATCAAGTGCTTAATATTAGTCGGAGCAGTCCGGCTGAAATTAAGTAATAATATACGATTAACGTATTTTGGATAAACGTGCCTTGTACTCTCGTGGTAGTGCCTCATGCCGCTAATCCTTATTCCAATACAGCCTAACAGCGTTCCGCAGAGATTAACTTCACGTCACGTTGTGCAACCAAAGGCCATAGAGTTCATGCTTTGTGATCCTTTTCGGTGGTTGTTTTGTCAGTTTACCTTTGTCACGAATGAGACGTGTTGATGTACAGTTAGTCGGGTACAAACTGTATAGTTTGGGGAGAAAATATGGGGTGATGATGCTGCAGACACAAGGCAAATGCAATGACACATGAACATTTAAATACTGACGCATTGCTGTATTAGCTGCCAAAAGGGACATAATCATCTCGATAAATGTGTATTGCATTATGAGTGTGAATGAATACTAATTAAATTTACCAGAGTAAAATATGCTTCAAATGAATATGCCTTTTTAATACCAACTAAATTAATGTACAGTAATGGTACAGCTCTATTGACAATCCACTGCTGGATGTAGGCCTCCCCACGGTGTGTAGGTTATGTGGGTTATTTGATCATACTTCACCACACTGGTCAGCGAGGGTTGGTGAAGACGGGAAGCAAACTAAATCTGGCAGCATAGCAGTACAGTACAATGGATTTGCTACAGAACGTAGCCCCACACTCCTTGACAACCTGTTTGTGCATGGTAGTCACCCATAGAAATAGTATCCAGGCTCAAACCTGCTTAGCGTCTATCATATCCGATGGGATTCGGTGCGTTTGGTCAAAGGTTAATGCATATAATACACTTCTTGAATTGAGGAAGCTTATTTACTTACAGATAATATGCTAATATGTTATTACATATACAACATGCTGCCATATATTTGTACAAATTATACATTTAAAGTCCAAGCTCTTGTCAACGCTCGATGGGACCTTACCCACTGAAAGAGGGTGGTGCTGGTTGGTTTAAACTGTGTCACCGAGGGCTGTGGTACAATGTGGACAGAATGTGAAACTTGTTTCGAAGCAAGTCGCAGCATGTTACACTGGCCAATCCAGACGAGCCACAATAGAAGGGCAGCCGAGGTTCAGTGCTAAATTAACAACTCGGTCTGTGAACACTCGGCCCACCCACTCGTATACGCAGCATGCATTGCACCACTCTCAAGTCAAAACATAAGTCTGTGCGATGTGTAACAGGGTGGCACATTACAGTCCTGGGTATTGCACAGCACACTCAGGAAGCGTGGAACCATAG